CAGCACATATGGCATTTATTTGACATATTAGCATCCAGACCAAGTTCACTTGGCGACACGTGGCACGTCACACATGTGCATCGTATTACTCGAGCGAAAATTTGTCCTAATCGATCAGAACTCCGTTCACCCACCGGATGCACCCCACGATGTGAGGGGGGGAAGACTTCCGGGTAGCACCAACGCACGAGAAATATCTCTCTCTCTGCTCTGTCTCTTTCTCTTGCTCTTCTTTCTGTCACGCTTTCGAGCCAGTTGATGTATCGAACAAAGTTTTTCCCTTCGCGAAAGAAGCGCTCGGTTGTCTATTTAAAGCGGGACTTTATTGCGCATTCGAGGGGAAACGATACATTATTGAACAACCACCTAGCATGCATATCTTGGAGTCGCGCCATCGGCCGACGGCACTTCCGCAACGGAATTTTTGGCGAACTGCCAGAATCCTGGGAGGTGATACTTGTCTCGGAAAAACCTAGGAAATGTTTTCCCACGTGGACCGCGTTATTCCTAACTATACGTACGTTAATAGAGAACGTCGTTTACTCTTTAAAGGTTTTTTTCTATTACGGTAACTTGGCTCGATGAAAGAATGGTCTTTTAATTGGGGTCATAGGTGACATTCGAAAAAAAAGACGTAAACCAGAAGGGAGTTCTATTGTTAGACACGATTTCATTCTTTTTCCTTAAAGAATTTTATTGGAATTTTATTTCTTCGTCAAACGTGCGAATCAGCAAAAATATCAGCAGTTGTTTACTTTCTCTAAGTATTTAGCAATCAATAAACTTGAATCAATTTTCATTATGATACTATTCATCTTGTATATTTTCAAATTTTAATATTTTATGATAAAATTGCATTTATTTTTATAGTAGATAGATTCTTAAACAATTTAAATATCTTTTTGCTGAAAATTTTAGATTTTGTCATTATCACTTTTTTCACATTTCTGATATTAACGATGAACAAACTTTATATTCTAAAATTTTATTTTTTATTAAAAAATATTTTTGTTGAAAATCTTATTTTGAAATTTTACAAAGCTTGAAATTGTGTATTTAAACATAATATACTCATTGTCAAATATTAGAAACTTGTGAGAAAGAAAAAAATCATATCCGAGATCAAAGCCTGTATGCGGATCATGCGATGATTGTTGTCTTTCATTTTACCCACTAATTTTCTGTCTAGTTGGCAATTTATTTCGCGAAAGAAAGTGGTTGTTTACTCAGGTCTGCAACGCGTAAACCATCCAACGATCCATTTCTCGAAGAAAATACTCGTAAAATAATTTCGCGAGCGAATTACGTCCATTCGAGTTTGTGCTATGTGCGGCGCGCTTTTCTGAAAATTTCGGACGTAGTTCCGAGAAGTATCTCCGCAGTTGTTCTCGATTTATTGTCGATACTATCTCGACTTACGCTTCCTGCAATCCGCAATCGAAACTGGTCAAACTTTCAGCCGAGAGGAGGCTCGCTTGTGCACAACCTCCTCACTTCCTTCCTTTATCCTTTGGCCTCCCCTCCCTCGGCGAAGTGGGTAGTTACATTCCTGGTAGCGATCGGAATCCATGACCCCGATATATCATGATAAGATCGATCGTTCGATCGTCCCCATACGTTTGCACTTCGCTTTATTCTATAACGTGTCGTCAACTTTCATGAGTTACTCCAATACTGTGGAAGCGAACGATGTTGTTCGAGAAGCAACATTAAAGCATAAATACAAAGTTGCTGTTACTCTAAAAATAAAATATCCACTGGCGTGTAAAGGATAAATATTTGCACATTGTGCACATCTAAATGTAGATAATGAAGCATCCATAGATTTATCATAAACATTATTTAAATAAAATTTGAGATACCACTTAATTATTGAGAAGATGTTTGCCACACGGGCTAATAGTTTATCGTAACCTCTCAAATCGTTCAAATAATATATATCTATATTTATATCTAAGAAAGAGCATTTCTTCCTTAGAAAGCTACAAAGTGGCGTTGATTGCTGCTGTTCAAAGATATTGAATTTCCTGTGTGTAAAAATAGCAGTATAAATCAAGCAACGTATAGCCGGACGGAGACGTTGATTGAATCGCGCGTCGGGTTAGAAAAGTTTTCGCACGGTCGCATTTCGATTTCTTGCAACGCGAGAAAGTTGTTTGATTAGACTTCAGTTGAGCCATTTCGAACACGACGTTATTTTCTGTATCTAGTTAACAGGGATTTTTGGTTACTTTTTCCAACGGCTAATCTTCTTAGGCGGAATCGGGATGCAAGTGCGGGAAAGAGGTTTACGTGCGACACAGTATATAGAGATGAAGAAAGTGGAAACATCGGAGAGAGAGAAAAAGAAAGCTGCGGCGCGATTTAAATTAAGAATTTAAATATTTCCGCGTAAAACCGGCATGTAATGTTCGCGAAAAATACGACACGCGGCTTAGGATCAGTCTAGCACTTTAATCAGAAAGAAATCCGAGTGCGGCTTTAATTAATCCTATTTTTACCAACTGTACGGATAATGTTTCATTATTTTTATCTATGAGTCATAAAATATTTAAATAACTCTTCTTGATTAACTACATATATATATATATAAAAGATTAAATGTTTTAATATCGTTCTGCTTCAATTGGCTGCTTCACGCTTGAAACGAAAATAAGTCTCAATGGGATTGAGCATTAAGCACAATCTTTTCACTCCGTGTAATACGTTGAAATACTGTCTACATGAAGAATTTTTCCCCAAGCAATTTTGGAGAAGTTGTAATTAAGCCATGAAACATTGCCGGCTACCTAACCAGCCTTATAGCATTAAATCAACCAAATCTAGCTCTCAGCAGTACTATACATAACAGCTTAATTGTGCAGACTAAGGTCCGCATTCATATCATAAATTTAGCGCGTAGATTTCATTCTCAGCGCAAGCTAATATCGCATGTGATTTTCATATAAGATAAACAAAATTCAGAATCGCAGCCATTTTCCACGTCAAGTTTGAGATATGAATGGAGCCTAAAAAACTGCTAATTTGAATTGTTTTATTACGCACATTTGTTTTTTTGTCCCAACTTGCCGCATTAAGATTTAACATTGTGTAATTACAATTAGCACTCTGATGAAGCAACGTGTACGTTCATGTTATTTCCAACAATATGTAATTTGCATTTCTCACAATAATTTAAGATTAGCGAAATTTTTCTTTTTTTTATATATAAATCTAAAGAGTAAGTTAATTAATATTTTATTTATACTTAAAAAAAGAAGTGAAGTTGCACTTTCTTCTCAAAAGCCGAAGAAAATCGAGGAAACTAATATGCGAATCAGTGAACGGACACCGCGACATCGCGTCACGTATTGTATATAACTTTTGCATAATAGTCACGCGCTTGAAAATTGCTCTGACACCGGAGACGAAGGCAATGGGGGGGAAGCTACGGCGCGAAATGTTTCGAAAAAGGAAAGAAATTGCACGTCACGCGGAAACATGCGAACGACGCTGTTTTTCCGGACTCATGGGGATTATGAAATAACGACCGGTTGCAGAATCTTGCCGCTCGTCCATCGGATTCCATCGGACGCGATGTCACCCGGTTGCTTGCGATTTCCGACATGATACTCGCGAGGCAAATAATTGACTTCTGGACCGGGTTTCCCGACGCCGGAGAAAAGCCATTACCCGAGCTATTCGATTTCCATGGACCGATAAGTTGATATCGATCTGCGGCTTGCTGCCAGCGCTTCCCCTCGTCGATATCTTTCCGGATTAACGCGATTGAATCTCATCGTGGTTCCCTACGGAACTCACGCTGATGCCGTAATGTACGGGGATCTTTTCGATGATTTTCTTACTGCTAAGTTCGGTTGGATCGGACACGGATCAAGCAGGTCTTATCAGTTTTTTTCGAAAGATACGAACAATTCTGGTGCCGTATGTCTATGCATATAAAAATCGAAAAAAATATAACGACCTTTTCTTTAATTATAACTTTGTAGCGATAATTTTATGCATTTAGAAAAATTGTTACACATATATAAAAATTATAATACGTCAAGATGAAAATTTTATTATTGTACACAAAAAACAAGATTCTGTATGCACTCAGCTATTTTTACCTCAAATTTTTCATTAATTTTTTATACTGCTAAAACATGTTTAATATCTTTACTTACATAAAAAACTTACTTACATAAAAATAAAACAAAAATTGTGTACATAGCAATATTTATTGTATGTATTTTATCGTATATATTTTATATCGCACACATGATAAAATTTGTTTGTTTGTTACATAATATAAAAATACTCAATTTTAGAATTGGAACAATATGAATTAATGTCCGCTACTTTTTTAGTAATACAAATCAAAGATTTTTTCAACACTTTCGGCAATATAAACCAAAGAGATAAAGAGTAAGTCTTTACGAGTAGTACAAGTCAATTCTAAAGTTTGTTAAGTAGTTTAAGTCCAGCAGTGCGAGTCAAGTAGTATAAGTCAATCTCTGGATTTACAGATGAGATTTCTTCGATGCAGTTAGTAGCTAGTAGTATAAGTCAATGGTTTATATTGGTTAATTGTTAGAAGCATGTATAGCCATCACAATTTACATGAAAAAAAAACTTAAGATTATTAAATTGTATTCCATTTGAATTTGTTAATCTGTTACGTAACATAATAAAAATTTGGTATAAATTTGTCATTTATTAGCAGCTTTGCAATTTTAACATTGAATATATTTGTAATTAATACTTAAATTAAATATGTTGATTTTTTAGTAATTTAATTATTAATTTATAATAAACTACATTATTTGTATTGTTTAAGAAAAAAAGTTTGCATAACTGTCACTCAGTAAAACATGAACGATCTATATAAATATAATCTATGGCACAATACTGATTGCGCGAAGCCCTATCCTACTTGCCGTAGGCTAATGGTGGCAATCACCATCAGCATCATTGTTCATAACTCATCCATCCTTATCATTTGGCTTATCTCATTGCAGAAAGTTACTTCAAGCAACAGTAAGGGCCAATCGTACGGGCCATTTCATGTGGGTGGGCAGCGATTCGTGGGGCGCCAAAGTTCACCCCGTTCGAGATCAGGAGTTTGTGGCAGAGGGTGCCATCACCATTCTGCCCTACAGGAACGCCCTCGCAGGTAAAGAATCCTCGTTATGCGATTCTGTGCGTCATAATCGAATTAATTGGGAGGATGTTTGCCCTGAGTTTATTTTAGATTTAGGGAGAAAATGAAATCAATCATTTCTGTACGCAGTAATCTATTACACGAAGTATGATAAAATTAATTAATTAATAAAATTGAACAACTAATTATGATAAAAAGTAAATTAAATTTGTATAAATTATTTTAAGAAGTTTTTCAGAAATACGTAAAACAAATCTATTTCAATAAACTTTGTATTCTTAAGTAAAATGTTTTTACTTTAATTTTATCACAACTGAGCGCAGGAAGCTTTAACGCGAATAAATACAGATTAAGAAATTTTATCGATTGATGAAATTAATGGCAAAATTTATTTATTTTTCGCTAATTTAAAATATTGTGCTGACTAGTGTGTGATATTTTATTAGAATCGGTTTGTGCAGAATAACATATGCAGTGAAGAAATTTTCATATGCTTCTCTTATGATTAATTTTTACCGAAAAATTCCTCGCGTAATAAATTCGTACAATAAGACGTACACAATGGTAAGGCTGATTTTCCTAGTAAGATCGGATCGCTTCAATCCCCCTATTCGGATGAAAAAGACACGTGCTCTCAGAATATCCGCGTCGAAATCCGCGCTTTAAGGATACCGATATAAAAGCGAACGCGCGCCTGATCAAAGAACGGCGTGCATGAAAAATGTATTATACGCGAAAGCTTTCACATGCCCGTATTATTATATCGCACGAGGTGTTTGCGTAAAAAGCACAGCTATTTTCATAGAGATCTTTCAAGCGAAAGTTACCTAATAAATTTCGTAAAAATGATTGCTTTCGTCTTTTTTAACACTCTTTTTTTAAAAATAAAACATACCCCATTCTTGACAGAACAAGACAAATTAAATTTTTTACTCTCGAAGTTTTTCGCGCCAAAGACCTGTATGAATATTAAGTCTTTGTAATAAACTATTCAGAATAAACTTTGCAATCCCAATTAATTCTTAAACATTTTTTTATTAATATTACATACATCTAAAACAAAAAAAAATATAATTATGATAAGAAATAAATTAAATTGGTAAATTGTTTTAAGAAATTCAAGTTTTTTAAAAGTATTTTAAAAATACTTTATCTGATTTTACGAGAATACCAAATTTATTCAAAATAGATTTACTTTACATATTTAAATCTTGAACTTCTTAAAGTAGATAATCTTCAATGCTTTCGATTTGAATGCGATCGGAGTACAACTTTACAGCTTTTAATAATTCTGAACGTGATTTTGGGAGAAAAAAACTTGTATAATTATATAAAATTTAGAAAACTTTGTAAAATTTTTTATTCCTTAATTTATAATGTGGATCTATCAACTTGATGCTATAATAATAATAGAAAATTAATTTGTTAGATTATCAGTTAATAATTGTCTTATTTTTCCCTTCTTGAAAAATAGATTAAACGTGACAATATTTATAAGTTTATATATTACTTCAAAAGATTCTGATGAAAATTAAAGCAATCGTGAAAACGGTCATCTGTCGTTTTTTCAAGTCTAATAATTTATGAAATTAATGAACATCTTGACAACGATCTTAATCTTTTTTGGAACTTGGTGAGTCCTTAATTTCTGACAATTTGGTCCAGCTAACGACAGCTCGACGTTCGTACGTTAATCACTTAGCGCGGAACGAAAATGCCACCCATCACGTTCGTTTCTTCGGTCTGGAAATGCTAGCCCAAGAGTTAGGATGATGCGACATAATCGGAAGTGGAAAATATTACTCACTTGTCACGTGAGATTAATGAGCGTCAAGCCAAAGTTGGAACGATATCGCTGTAGCGGCAACAAAGTTGTACAGTAAGCAACTCCGGACAAGGAAATTCAATTCTGACTCGGTAAAGCGGATCAGACGTGTTAAAAAACTAAAAGAGTTACAAGTAAATTAAATGATTAAAATAACTCAAATAATATACAATATTAAAGTATATTAAATGTATACGTTTTAGATAAATTAAACAATAGAATTTTAATTGAATTAATTTGGCTCATTATTAAACACAATATAATATTTCTATTTAAAATATTGTTATTATAGCATCAAGTTGATAGATCCACATTATAAATTAAGGAATAAAAAATTTTACAAAGTTTTCTAAATTTTATATAATTATACAAGTAAAAATACAAGTTTTTTCCCCCCCAAAATCACGCTCAGAATTGTTGAAAGCTGTAAAGTTGTACTCCGATAATCGAAAGCATTGAAGATTATCTACTTTAAAAAGTTCAAAATTTAAATATGAAAAGTAAATCTATTTCGATAAATGTAACATTCTCGTAAAGTCGTGTAAAATGTTTTTATTTCAATTTTATTGCGACTGCAGGCGCGAGAAGTTTCTCGGGGTGAAAAGTATGATGCATCGAAGTTATAGAACGCCATTGAACGATTCGATTGTAAAAAGTATGGTTCGATTCCCTTGTAGGTTTCGACAACTATTATTTGAACCTGCGGCCGAGAATGGGCGACGAATGTGGCGGTCAAACGGAGAGCAATGTTCCCCATAAGTCGTTGCCGGGGAAGATTGTGAACTGCCGGAATATCTGGTTCCGGGAATTCTGGTCGCAGCATCACAAGTGCACTTTCAGCGTAAACGCGTCGAGCGAGATGAAGCGCTGCACTGGCGTAGAGGTCCTCAAGGATTACGAACAGGAGGGCCTGGTGCCTTTTGTTGGTAATGTATAGATCTATTCTATTATTATCAATAAATACATCGTTAACTGTCCATTTTATTTTTATGCTATAACAATGTATGACAATAATTGATTTATGTCGACACACCGTCTTTTAAAGAATTTTAATTTATGCCCAGAATATTGTTGTAGAAACTAATTTTATTATTAAATTTTATTTAACGATATGCAAATGCGAGATCGGACAGTTAGCAACACGCGGGCTCGCTCTCGACTACTCCTTGCTCTTTTTTAACAAATAAAAAATGCTTACCAGCACACACGCACAAAATACGCTCGCCAGACTACACACATATACATAACCAATCCTACACTCGGCCGTCCTGCACTCACATTCGGCCCCGAATGTCTTTACTGCAATTTCTTCTATTTTAAGTCTTCATCACTTCGTTCCTCGTGATCACTGTTCTCGGTTTGAGTTTCTTATTCTTCTATTTCTTTGTCGCAAAGTAACCAGGTTTTCATGAAGTCTGCGGATGTTGAAGTTTGCTGAAGTCCTTCGTGCTCTTCTACCTTAGACTAAATAACAATTATTTTGTAGAACCTTTATTATTTCCAAAATACTTTTGTATGTGTGCTGGTGAGCGTTTTTTATTTGTTAAAAAAAAAAAGCAAGCAGTAATCGAGAGCGAACCCACGTATTGCTAACTGCTCGATCCCGCATTTGCATATTGTTACTAAATAAAATTTAATAATAAAATACTTTGCCGCAAACTTTCCACTCGATCCATTTGATGATGGATTTTGATCAATTAATCACTATTTTACTATGAATTCAAGTCTTTTATTGATGGAAACGATGCAAAATTTTTGCGAGAAAAATTTGAAATTATACGTTTTAACATTTGCGATTATTAATTTTTATGAAAAACTCTACTTCACTTTTTAATTTAATAATATTTTTAATTTAATATTTATAATTTTAATTTAATAATTATATTTTTTATTTAATAATTAAAAATAAAAAGTGAAAAATGTAAGTTGTTATCAAAATTTTAATCTGCAATATATTTATGATTTTATATTGAAATTGGCATTTATATTAAACGATCTATAATTTGCGACAGAATTCAAAATTGTGTTTATAATTTTATATAATTTGTAATACAAGAAATATTTTTTTTTTAAACAACAGAGTATACATTTTTTTACGAAATATAATTTCACATAAAATAACAAATAGTTTTTTTAATCTTGTATTTTGGAAATTATAGATTGTCTAAAGCTGACAAAGTATATCTAGAATTATTGCGCTAGTTTAATAAATTTTTTATTTATTATTATCGTTCTAATAATTAAATCTAATAATTAAATCATCATGTATCTATTACGATTACTGCAAGGAAGGAATTATGTGTAGCTAAATTGTTCTCATTCGCGTCACAGCGGTTAATTAATTACGAAACGTGCGCGAGAGTCTCGCGCGAAGGGGAATACTTCATCGTTTATACCTAAAGTGCGAAAGAAATGATCAGTACGGAAGAAAGGACGAGAAAGATGTGCAGAGATAGTTGTCGGGGGAGGGAAGGGGGGAGGAAGAGAGAAAGGGAGATGAGCATTCTCTCGGCAGCCCTCCAACTTTTCGTCACCCTTCGACCATTTTTCTAGCCCCAAAACAGAAACGGGAAAAACTTGGCCGTTTCTGTTCGACCGTAATTCCAACAATATATGACAAGACTTACACGCGATGAGATAACAGCGCGCCTCAATCGATTATTTACCGCGCGATTTCCTTTTATCCGCTGCCCATCTTCCGTGTTATAAATTATCCACTCTATTTTCCGTTACATATATAATATGTATACACAGTGCGATCCGGTTAACTTTTACTTTCAAAGCAGAACACTTAAGAATTCTATATCCCGACCGCCATAATCATGGCATCAGTTGCTATTATTATATAACAAATTTTTTTATTTTATATTTAGAATTTTATTTGAGTATTCTGAAATTCTACAAGACAACATTCTCTACTATACTATCTGGTCTATCGAAGAACTATTAAATACCTTCATCTGACTGCAGCTTTAGATGATTTCTAAAGCTTCCTTCTACCACTCTCTTTCCATACATTTAACTTAACTGAGTTCATATTTCATTAATAAGATACGCGTTTTATCTCCTTGAAAAGCGCACGGTTCCGCCCTTGGTAAAAGAAATTAAATCTCTTGACCAAAAAAGGAGAAAAATGTTTCTTGTTTTTAGAAAATATTAAGCGCAAAAAATGAAATTAATATCCTTTGCAACAATAGTTTAATTAAATTCTAACAATTGTGGCATTAGAGCGTATTTTCTGCTTTTTATTTAAACTTTTTATTTTTAATGATTCATATAACAAACTAATTTGCGCGTATCAAAATTAATAGAAATTGATGATCTTATTTTATCATTATATGTTGTTAATTGCATATTATGTATTAATTGCCGTTTGATCTTCTTCTACATTTTCATACTCTTGAATAAAATAGAACCAGTTCTCTATTATCCTGAGTCTGAATTACTTGAAAGCATTTGTATCAAAATTATATTCTCGTTAGCCCCGTTAATCCGGTTAGCTTCTATTATGTTACAATTTAATTTGTTAATATTTGAATATAGAAATTATAAGCGTAAATAATAGATATTACTAGATGCTTACCCTTTTGCTCTTTTGTATTAACTTGTTCATTTGCTTCATAATACACATCTGTATCTCATTAGTTTCATTCCATTTGCTCTTTACGATATAATTGGCGGAACTGCATAATTAACGAATATCCACTTCTATTATACTGGTTATTTCGTTGTCGCTCATTTTGGCAGTATTTGTCAGATTAATTTTCATTAAATAATTACAATAAAGGATCTCCGAAAAAGTATCTTTGAATTTGTTTTTTGTTTTGTTGTACACTACAAATTTTAATAACATATAATAAATATTATTAATAAATATAAACAAAAAATAACCATACGCTTCTAATCGTACACTTTTCTTGGTTTGCCGACTTATCATGAAATCTACAGTTTGTGCCGAGCGATTGTCCTAACATTGTCTTGTTTCGTTTATGACGTTTTCAATTCTTCAATAGCTTGTTAATTACATTGAAAGCGTCCGACAGTTATATCTTTAAACTATCTTTGCGAATTAACGGTATACATTCACGGTTTATATCGCAATTATTAATACTTTTTAGAGATAGAGTTGTGTTCTGATATATTTTAAAAAATATTGGCATATGTTCGTATAGCATTTTTAAAAACTTTTGTGTAAATTAAAATATTTTAATTAGAAAAAGGGTTAATTTTTCGGATTTTTGGGAAAGACCTAGTTAAGAGTTACAATTAAATTATAAGCGTTTAATGAAATTGCATCTAAAAAAATTTTCGGAAATTTTGAACAATGATTAAAAAAATACGCCAAATACATAAAAAAGTATTCAAATTTATATCAACAATGATTTCGTATCAAAAATAAATATTAAATGCAATTAACCAAGTATTTGCATATTATAAACTTCATAATATACACTAAACAATTTAGAGTTCTTTTGAATTGTAATATTTTTTTACGTTTTATAATATACGATACAATATTTAAAAAACAAATACGCACCATATATTTCAAACACGTAAGATTATTCGTTGAGACATTTTTTTTATTTACTTCAATCAATAATTAGTCTTCCATTTTCATGCAAAAAACACTTTCCGCAAGTGACGGCTTCTTACTGTTAGATCGATATGGTCCTGTTTCACGCACAATGCATAAATCTAGGATAAGCGATGGAGGATTCCGAAGAGAAACATAAATTCCACACAATTAATCCCAGTTCGCTATCAGCTGTCCGTAAACGTTTCGCTAGTGTTTGCAATTAACCGCAGCTGACTATATGCCCAATCCATTAGATTGCGCACTTCCGACCGGACAAATCGAACTAACTTCCACGAATTTCCGCAAAGCAAAGTCACGACAAACGGAAATAAGGAAAACAACACCGGCGAACACCGAGCAAAGCAATTTTTCTCGGCTATGGTTTTTGCGTTAACAAACACTGCCAGTGGCGCGTGAAAAGTTGCGCAGGATCAACCGCCGCGGTTTTCTCCAGATTTCGCTCATGCTCTCTTTTCCCTTGGCTTTCTTTTGTTCTACTTTTCGACGTGAAATAAATGACAGGGTCTTGTCGAGCGCGCGAAGCAATCGGAAACACTCTCCGATCAAGTTTGCGCCGCGCGGTGGTGGATAAATCTTTTAAATTATCTTATTATCTGCCACGAGAGGCGTTTTTTTTTTTCGCTTTTTTTTCTGCAAGCAATAATTTACGTTCCGATCGGCATCCTCCGTAATCCTGCAAATAACTGATGACAGCGCTCGTATAACAAACTAAGATTCGCAAGATGAATCGCAATGAAACAATACAACGATTGTGTGAAATGCCTGATAAATTGAACAAAGGCTCGAATTAAATTTGATCGCGAGCTCTTGGCGAATCAAGTATCTTGAGAATAAAATTGTACGAGCACGATGATTATACACAGACAAAGGCGCTTATAACTATTATATATAAGAGAGTAATTTTCTTTCTCAAGAATTTCCAATGTAAATGAGAGATTTTTGCTCTTTACTTTATTATAGCGTCGCTTCCCATGTTTTACAATGAGCTTAGTGATTTTTAGTATTAGATTAATGGCAAAAGTAGCTGAAAGTATTTAAATTATTTATAATTATGATGAATGATGTAATAATATATTTATTTAGCTCCCCCAGCGTGGATCAAATAAATGTAGTATTTATCGTATTTGTCGAAATTGTTACATTTCACCAGAGATTTCCAAATTATTTTCAGTGGATGCGGTTTACGCTATGGCGCATGCTGTTCACAACGTCATCGAGGAGGAGTGCGTAAATATTTTAGGCACACCGCATTTTCTCTGCGAAACACTTCAACCGGCACCAGACGGCCCACGACTTCTCCAACACATTCGCAATGTCACTTTCGTAGGTGAGTTACAAAATCCTCTAACAATATAATATCTTTAACCCGAGTTTGCAATTATGAAATCTATATGTATTTCAATTTTACATAAATTAAATTATATCTTTCATTATAACACTTGTAGAGAACAAACATTTGATTATCGTAGAAATATCTCGCGCGTTTCGCCAATATTTTTCAACGTGATGCAGTATTGATTAATTGAAAAATTTGTTAGCGTTACTCACGTGCCGGATGTGAAAGGGTCGTTAAATTGAGAGGCTCGAGCAAATGAATCCATTATATCTGCGAGAATTTTGCGTACATCGAACTACAACTGTGTTATCCCGTACATGAAGCGATCTATCAGTGACGTCAAAGAGCGGCGAATTTCGACGCCTCATCGATATTGCAATTAAAACACTTTCCCCGATTTAACGGCACGTAACACTTTCACGTTGGTGGACTGTGATACAATTAAGACTGCCCCTCGTTACGGCGCACTATCATATGGCAATGCAATTATCCTGATCGTCCATTCCCCCCCGATCGCATAGCAGACAAGATTTATCGTAACGATATTGCATAACGTTTGAACTTTCTTTTTTCTCTCAGCTTTTCCGATATTTTCACAACACCGTCAGCCGTCTTTTAATCCCGCGCTTCCACTACTTTGTTCACTTTCTCAAGGCACTTGTGTGCTAACGGGACGCTGGGTTTATATCAGAATATCTTATTTCAAAATAGTTTCATTTATCAATATTAGCGATATAAATGGTGGAATCTTAAAGATAAACTGCAAGGCACGTAAAACCGGTGTACATCAGTGACAGAAGTTTGTGCCTTGCTTAATCCGTGCGCAATATCTTTAAGAATTTCAATTCAAATCTGAAATATTAGATTACTTACATGTAAAAACAAGACAAATAGCTTGGCATATACAAATAACAATTTTTTTTTTCATTTATTTGGCAGAGTGAATTTCTCGTAGTTTAATTTAGTCAAAACTTTATTCTAACATTTATGCATTTTAAAATATTTAAAAATGGAAACTGCTGTTATGATACATAAAACCATGGTCTAAATATCTTCAATTTTTAAATAGATTTCATCAAGAATATACTTTTCTCTACTAGTTATATTTTTAAAATAAAGTTTATTTGCTCTGTAAACGGTCCTGGATCGAATCTTATTGGACAAATTTTCCGATATGGAGCAAATTTTCCGATACTGTTTTCCCGATTCATTACGAAGATTTAATTCTTTGTTTGTGCTATTGGAAAACTAATCTGCGGATAGAGCAATAACGGGAATAAAAATATCAGTTATCGTAAAACTGACTGGAATGTTCCCTGTTTGATATACTTAATTATTTACTTTACCGCGTGCGTTATGCAATGTGTAAATATAATACGCGCTAAGTGCATTATTTGACCGCAAAGCAATAAATTGAATTTATATTTATACACTATTTCAATAATTGGATTTTGGAAGCGAAATTCGTCTGAAAAAAGTCTGACTTAAACTTCGGCGTTATCTGGATTTCTTTTTTTGCGAAGAAAATCGCACCCTCGCGGTTGTTGAACATTTGAGAGAAAAAGGCTATGCATCCCAAGTACTTTCATTTCTTCCTGCAACATTTTCACAGATAAGCTTGGTAATAAAAACGACCGCACTGGGAAGGAAAAGTTTCATTTAACATTATCTTTTTATTTTTTTCCGTCTTTTTTTTTTATTCTTTTGCTTAACTATTCTTACCAACTACTTAATTATTGTGTTTTATTTATTTGCCTTTTACGTTTCTTGTTAACAGTGCATTGCACGTTTTTTTTTTATTAAGCATGAAAAAGGAAACAATTAAAATTTTTTATATTATTGCTCCTTATTTATTACTTTTCTATTTTATTTAACAATATATAAAAATGGAATCTCTCTCGGCAGGAGCGTGACAACTCGTCCAACACTACTAAATCAGGAACTATTGTAGAAGCGAGAAAATTTACATCTGCTCTCAATGGCGCGAGTCTGTCGTTTGGATTGACGTTTAATCGCGATTCGAATTGCGATTCACCATAACGCGAACATTGATGATAACTCACTGCACGTGAAACACAATTTCCCACCCACGGCTGATATGTTAGCTTTGCTGCCACGATAACGATAACTTGGCACAAGCATCGCGAACTTGTTTGAGCGTTTCGCCGGCGAGCCGCTCGCGCAGCATAAATCTGGTGCGCTTATGTGCGCGGAATAACAATGTAGACGTATTTTCCTTTGTCAAACTTATTTGCTAGTCTTGACAATCCAGTACTATTCGCACCCTGTTGTGCTCTTGTTCATATGCCGACGAATAAACTTCTAAACGAATTTCACTGAACTAAGCGTGCCGTGTTATTATGTTTATTGTCTCTTTGTCAGCGAAAATTGTAATGGTAACAATAGTTTAATAGGTTAACAAAAAATATTCATAAATTATTCCCCTTAATAATTGTATATATATATGTGCATATGTGTATATGTGATGTGTGTGTCACTCTTTTTCCAATATTTATCTATAAAATTTCCATATATTATCTTCTCAAATATGTATTGCATTTCTCATTTACGACCTGAATATTCTCAAAAATTTGTGCACATTATTTTTTTTAATTATAATAATTATTTCCTTTTTTTTATAAATATATTACAGAACAATTCATTATAAAAAATGCTACATTTCTTATACTATGGGATCCCATTTTCTCTGTTCATATTTTTCATTGTAACTTGATTTTAAACTCACTTTCTTTGTTAAGATAAAAGTAAACAGAAGTTCTAAGGAGAGACTCGGCTAAAGGAAACACCAGCATTTCAGGTTTATCGAAAATAATGGCGAGAAGATATTGTTACATTATCGCAACTTTTGTGATCTTTTTCTTTACATCTCCATCGTGATAAACCGAGCTTTTGTTTCACGATTTTCACCCTAATAGTCGCTTATAATTTTCTCCGCCTTGGCGTACAAAATCTTCCTTTTCTTTTCGGCATTGTCGCTTGTACAACAATCCACTTTCTCTCGTGAGCTTTTTCTCGTTCCGCTATTCTTTCTTATTGTGATCTTCAAAAATAACACTTTGTACACATCCTCTACATCCGCTTGTCTGTTTGCCTGCGTCGAATTATTATGATAAGAGCGGAGCGATAAACCAAGGAAAGAGGATAAACCTTAACAAGGGTGAAAAGAAGCGTACAAATCCTTTCCTCTCACGCGCTACCCTATAAATAAACCACGCGTGAAATAGCTGGCATAAATTCCGCAGACGGAACGTTCAAATTCGCTTCGATCTTACACTGGCAAACGTCTGTTTATCCCTTTTGGACCGTCTTATTCATGAGGTTTTACTTCTTTTTCACCTTTCAGCCTTTTTAATTTATAACATGTTTCGAATAATATATCGTTAATATCTCTATATCTTTATAGTATATATTTTTATAAATTTAATTTAAGTTAATTGAAAACAATTCTACTTTAATATCGCTCGAATTTTATTGTTGGATTTTTTAATTTTATTTTATTATTATTGTCAGATGTAATTATTATTAATAACTAAAAAAGTAAACTGTTACGACACCCATAATAGTGTTTATTATGTAATCGACATCAGCGACAACACTAAAAACCGATTTAATCTAAGAAATTGGAAAAAGATGAAACACTTCACATTCTATAATCGTATTAGCATAAGCTGTAGCATTTAGAATGTCGAACCAGCACTTTCCATCTTATTTTAGGTCGACAAAACACGGAGATCAAATTCAATGCTGACGGAGACGCCTACGGATTTTACAACATCTATCAATATCAAAGGAAAGAGGATCGCTTCGATTACATTCTCATCGGCACGTGGAGGGAAGAGTGAGTAGTGGCCTCCAAATTCAAATGGAATCCGCAAACTTTGTCATTTGTCGTACGAATTGCACGAACTGTCGCATTAATCTTTAACTATCCTATATATCTCACGCATTACTGTAAATCCAGTTACCAAATTGATATTAGTGTCACTCCGTGCTTATACAGCTGTCAACACTCACCAAAATTGAAATTATTTCGCAAATTGTATTTCGTATTATTACAATTTGTACAAAATGATTTTACTATATTCTGTCCAATCATACGGTGATAACGTGCATTTTGCATTAGAAAAGTATATTTCTCATCATATCATTCTTTATAAATATCATATCGCTAGTAATTTGTGATAAATAATTTGCATTTTTCTAAGATAAAAAGAACACACAAATCAATCCTGATGGACAAAATAAATTGAAATATGTGTTGGAATGTTTATAAATTATGCATTACTTTTTATTGCCGTATACTTGTAGAAATATGAAGAGATTGATTTTGCTTGAATAGCAGATTCAGTATAACAACGTAAAGTCAGTGACGCATTTGATTTGCTAATTAAAGGTTAATTGACTCCCTCAGGCTCAATTTGGATATCAACATGACACGATGGGCGACTGGAGTCGGCGAGCGTCACATTCCACACAGTATGTGCAGCGATAACTGCCCGATGGGACACGTCCGCAATTTTGTAGTAAGTGCACATTGCAAAGTCTGAGGATAACCAGAACCGCTGAGTGCTGCGCAGTTCTATTAGCTGATAGGGTGTTCATGACAGATCTATCGATTTGCAGAACAATGAGAGAGCAAGAGATTAAAGCAGTATAATGAGTATTAATTGCAAATATTGAACGAGATAATATTTAAGAAGGGTATGCAAGATTGAATTAACATATTTTAAAATGAATATTATTAATATTACATTTTGTGAATACAATTTACATTATCAAGCTTACAAGTTTAGGGATTTATTAAACTCAACGAATAAACCGTTGACCAACGGATTAGCGGTTAAATGGGAATCAGTACATTAAGTAATTGTCCATTCGCGAGTAACACTCGCAAATTCCTATTACATCTCCGGCGGTTGTTGCGCCGGAGTTTATTTACGGTTTGCCTCTAATTTTCATCGGCTTTAGAGTTAATGCAGATTTCGAAACAGTGGTTCAAAACTCATTGCGACTTATTGACGCATCGAAGTTGATATATTTAATAACCAACTTGTTTAATAACGCGCGACCTACATATCTCTCTTTTATTTCATCATAATTGATACAATTTATGATGCATATACCGCAGTTGCAAACACAGCGCCGTATAATACGTTGAAATACGCAAAATGCGAACTTATTAATTGAATTTCTTATAACGAAACGAAACTATGGGACCACCTCGACGACGAGTCAACTTATTTTACGCGGTTTATATAATTAAATTCTAACACACGTTTTGACTGAAACTCCGTCGGGGATCCGGCTGTACAATTCCCACAAACTCTCGTGATATGCGAGTTACGTCTAATAAAGTGAACACGGACTATCTTCTCTACTTCTGGCCTCGCCTCTCGCCCATTCTCACTTCCTGTCCTCTCAGCGAGCAGAATTTCATGCAAGTTAAAGTAGATCTGTAATTGTGCCCCAATCCCCGGTTAATCCCAGAGCATTCGCGATCCCTGACATTTTCCGCAACTTCCCTTAGGATGCCAACCATACATGCGGAACATAGATAATGTAGGAGGAATAATTGTGCCGCACGACACGGTTTTTGCATACGCTGTCCGTTTGCCACTCTGCGGTAGATGTCTTGCTTCATATTATAACTCCTGGACTTTAAATTACAAATGTATGGATATGAGACTCCGAGTCTTAACCGTCGCAGAATTGAAGTATTTAAATGCTAGTGAAACAAGTTTCTCGAGACAAGTTTTCCGAGAAAATGTACAGAAAAATGATATTAATCTTTGTAAAAAACTTGATATAAAATTAGACTGACAGTACTGCATTTACAAGAATTTCGGTATTTAGGTATTATCAGTGTTATATAATTCCGTAATTATTTAGAATTATGAAAAATATATATAAAGACTCAAAAATATGTAAAAGAAATTTTTAAGACTTTAATTACTTTTTTTATTTATTTTCTTATTTTGTTTGCTTCTTCTATTTTTTCTGCGTAAAATGTGTTCCAATCAATTTTAAATCTATTTGCTTTTTTACAGTGAATGTTTATTGGAATTATTTTTTTAGTATTTATTTCATTTTTTGTTGTATTTTTAGTACTTTATTTTAATATTTAATCAATTTAATCCAATTATTTCAGTTTAATTAATTTAGGGACTGTAAATCTATTCGATTATGTATTCCAACATTGAAGCTCGCGGAGCCACCTTTTGGCGTTTAAGTCCCTTGAGTTGTAATCTATTTAGATCGTATGGTTCATATGTCCTTGAATTAAATCGTTCCCTTTAACATTTTGGTTATCAGAAGTTAATGACACACGCACCAAACTTTCTCGGAATCGACATCGGTAGTTTGCTCCCCTCCCCCAGAACTCCGTAACGCTGATAATTAGCTTTTCTTAAGTTGATGTCGGGCAAACAAGGAGAACCCGATATCGTAGCGCAGCCAGAGGCATCACCCAACGTTTCATTATCGCTGCATCCTTTACAACGACTATTATTAGTTTCTCCTGTTAAAGAACGTAAAAGAAAAGAATATTCGCGAGATGCTTTCTCAATCGTTCTCTTCTTTTCGTTATAAAATCATACATAATACAATCTTTACTGAATAGGGAAATGCTACAATTCACACAAACAATTTTATTCAAGAGTAATCAAGCTTTTAAAAAATTCTTAAAATAAAAGCTGCATAGATATGTAATAATATTTACACATTTTATTTATTTATTTGCACTCGCTAGAGAAGAAGAGAAAAATTTTTTCAATTTGGAGAACAATAGCAACAGCTTCATCTTTATTTGTATTTTCTAAAGTATTATTTTGAAATATAATTATTAAAAAATAAAAAAAATATTACTTTTTTCTTCTTGATAAATCATTCCTTCATTGATTTTATCTTTTTGATAAATCATTCCTTCATTGATTTTATCTTCTTGATAAATCATTCCTTCAAAACGTCGATTTTGTTCGTAAGAAATAAGAAATTTTTTTTAAGTTTCAACTTAAACTCCCGTTAGCCTTAATCTAACAAGTAAATCTCTTAAAATTGCCTTTCTTTCGTTTATCACCACAGCTGCCTTGACTTTATCATTTTTGCGCAATTTGCTTTCAAATTTGCTTCCAAACTTAAGGGCGATCATCCGCGACCTTAATCGACAAACTATGTGTTCTTCTCATCGTTTATTTTTTCTGCTATACTTATTCATATATTTTGCATTATTATAAACTTGCACACACATCTTACAATATTTTTAACGCTGTTATTTTTTTTTTTTGTAGATTTTTTGTAGATATTAAGGAACTTTTTTGATTTTAGCTTAAGTTTTATTCAACCTGAAAAGAAAGGGAAGTTTAGGCCTTAAAATTTCTTCGATCTCATTCTAATTTCTCTCTCTCCTCTTACTTTCTTTCCTTCTATCGTTGCAACTACTTTTGCTTTATCACTTTTCCGCAATTCGCACCCGTAATAAGCTCATGCGAAATTTTAAGCTCGATCATCCGCGTCGACAACCTCAATGACGACGAAAGAGAGCTTGTTGGTTATGGCGAAAGTTTCACGATGTTCATTACAGCCTCTCATTAGGAAAGTCGGCGTCTAACGCTCGTGAAAAGCTGACGAAAACGATGCAATTCCGTAGCTGGCGCTTTGCCAACGATTGCCCCCAGTAAATTCCATATTGTTTGCATCGCACTCCGATGAATCCCCGATGAGACTTTGTAAAGACTTTTGTAGTGTGATTTACGCGTACAGAATGAACTTAATAGAATCCACCAAGAAGCGCGAACAAACGGGATCGATTTACTGTTTCAGATTGAAAATTTTTACTTTTCTCTCTCCGTAATATATTTTTTTTATTTTTATAGTACAGCAAAAATTCTAAGAGATAAATAACATAATTATATTTTATGACCAAAAAAATAAAAATATTGCCTATGGCACAATCAAATTTGTTTATATTTTTATTGTAAATTTAGTCTTTCTCTGTAATTTTTTATTAGAATAACTATATCAACTTACAACAATTTTTTTTTAAATAAAAATCTTGATTGCTTAATTCTGATAAATATGAATGTAATTTTGATAGATTTACGAACGCTCAAATTAAACCTGTAATTAAAAAACAGAGAATAGTAATTAACAAAAATGTAGAAAAATAAGATTGTCAATATCTTACAATATCTCTAGATCAAAAAATATACACTTTATTGTACGATCTGCATAAATCTAATTAAGTCGAATTTGGTTCATAAAATTTATGCTAATAACCAACACATGCATAATTAATTTGTTAATTAAACCTTACGATCTAAGCAAATATTGTTCTGCAACACGCTTAAAATGCGCTGAACTTTTCGCATCAGCTTGCGTATTATGCAAGCGCGACAAAAATGCAAATAAGCGATCGAATGCAATAAACGCTCATAGATAACAATTTATTAAGCGCGGAGTAATTAATTATCTATACGCGGAGGAGCGATAATTGGTGCACGATTTGTATCATAAATGAGATTTATTCACTGTCTGATTAAAGTGCGCGTTTTGACAAATATCCATCAATGAATAGCGCTATAATGACAATTAAAATGATAATCACCGCTGCGTTCACTTGTTTCTGCGTGATCACGCATATACTCAGTTTGATCCGTCGCGCGAATAATGCCGCCTATAGTGGTTGTAATGATCACGAGAGTTTTGATTGGCGGTTAAACTAATGATAATAATAGTAATCGTTAACTATTAGCTTATTATTGACTACAGCTATTATTAGTTAAAATGACAAATCAATATCAGCCAAAAATAGCCGCAACAGCATACTAATTGAAGTACAAAGGATAATTAATTACTACACAATTAATACACACGACACAATTAATACTACACTATTAATACACAAGATTTTTGCCTGTATTATAAATAGCCTGTAAAGCTACATTCGCATACATTTGCACGCAAAGTTTCTCGCTTTAGTCTGAAATATATATATCTTTGTTAGTCGTTTCTTGTTCCATTTTGTCCGCTTTTATTTACAGTCCCATTATTATTATTTGTGGATGTTACTTCGGCGAGTACCAGCTCGAATAATTTCGGGTAGTTCCAAACTGCGATGAAACCGTCAGTTTTCTCCCGACGAGAACCATTTATTATTTCACAGCGTAACAACGGAGTTTGGAAGCAAGCCGATGCTAATAGAAGAGGAACATGTTGTATCCGCTGCAACAAATCCATTTTTTCTATGAAACTCCACCGTAAATAGTACAGATCTGTTTGCTCGCCATAACCCAAACAAACGTCAATAGAGATCTCGTTGACGCAACGAAGCTCGATATTTTTTCGGTAGTCGCATAAAAAAATAGATTTTTTTCTGGCCACCATTGAACCGTGCGTCATGTTGGAATGCACTTTACGTGACCGTTTTTCAAACGCTTTAGACAAGAACAACGATAACCGACAAAACCGACATTTCTTGTTCAGCAAAATCCGCTTGTCCAAAAGCGTAAGCTCGCTTGTATGTGCCGTGTGTACAGTCCCTTTACAACCCTGCCGCAAAGCTCCGTTGCTTCATTAAAGCCACTTCTCTCTCATTGAAATTTAATTATTCAGAATTTTCATCAACGCAGGAAAAGTACGATAACAGATTATTTAAGCGCTCCAATTTTTATTTTCTTAGCTTTATAAATTTATTCCGGTATTCCTGGGTATAAAATACGCTTTTGATATTATAATTAATACGTACGTTATTATTATCAAACCGTTATGATGATAATAACGGTCATTAACGATCGGATTTTAAGCTTCGTTGCGAATCGTTAATTCAAGACGGACAATTGATTGTTAATTATTCGTTTAACCCAATCGTTTCGCACGTAGGAACCTTGCTGTTGGAGTTGCGTCGCCTGTCGAGAGGATGCCTACGTATTCAACGACACGTGCAAGAACTGTAACCCCGGATACGCACCGAACTCCACGATGACGGGTTGCGTCAAGCTCACCGCGGAAGTTATACCCTGGACGAGTCCTTGGGCGTTGGTACCGCTGATATTCGCGTCCATTGGGATTCTCAGTACTCTCTTCACCACGGTTGTCTTCATACGGTAAGTCGCATTCTATTCAAAGAGCATTCATCTGAATATAATAATATGCGAGTGATGAATGAGGGCGAATACGTGTCCGATATTTTCTCTTTCAATGAGAATATAATGAGATCGAGTGAGGAATATTAGTATCGAACATGGACGCTTCAAAAGATCTAAAGCCGGTGCTTTCGAAGCGAAAATTTAATCGCAAGCTTAATTAGCGATCTATTAAACTTAATTAGAGGATCAAAAGATTTGCCGCATTGAACTTCAAATGTGTGGGAAAGAAGTGGAACTTTTAAACCTCAGATTTTAGAGTCTCTTTTTGAATTTTTTCTACTTAGCTCAACTAATTATTTAATTATTATATCCACGCTGCTCATGTAAATCATGTAGGTTATAATTTCAATTAATAATCAATTAACTCAACATCAATAGTGCGATAATAGATTTTCAGCTCTTTTACATGTATGTTTCTCACAGAATCACATTGATTCTAAGGGTTATTAAAAATTATCATTGTGTTATTAGGAAGAATCATTTTGCTTTTTCACGGAGAAAATTTTTATATCAAAAATTATTACGTGCGGCAGTAACCGCGGATCATGAAGTCGCGAAATTTTTATCATGTTTCACATGAAAAACGCAGTAAAAAATTTTATAATTTCTTCATGGTCCACTGCCGTACATAGTAATTTTTTACACAAAATTTTCTCCGCGTTGGGCAAAGATTAAACAAAAATCTCATATTTTTTTAAAACATCAATAATTATAAATAAATATTAAATGGCATGTTTGCAACAGTGCAATATTGTTTATTGGTTTAACATTTTAAGTTATTTAATCCGATACAAAATTGATAAACAATATTTTTCTCGATATAAACTTTACCTTTAAAACAATCTGGATTATAGTTCTTGTTTTTATTTGACTGCTCTTAACATGTTTTCGATAAATTTTCCATGTGTGAACTGCAGCTTTAATCGCACCCCGGTGATTATGGCATCCGGACGCGAACTATGTTACGTTCTGCTGGTGGGCATACTCTCGTGTTACGGCATGAGCTTCGTCATACTGAGCAGGCCGACAACTTGGAATTGCACATACCTTAGAATCGGTCTCGGTCTCTGTCTCAGTATATGTTACAGCGCGATTCTCACGAAGACCAACCGTATATCGCGGATATTCAACCAAGGCACGAAGAAAATCAAGAGACTCTCCTACACATCACCCAAGAGCCAAGTGGTAATCGCTATCGGTGAGTACAAGCTGCACTCACCTTGGTAAACACGTCGACAAGCCACGGCCTCGAGAGGATAATTGCACGCCGATGCTTGACGCAACCTGAAATAAAAGGGCCCTGTTAGATAGAGGAAAGGAAATGATAGTTCGATCCTTACGAAAACTTTACGTCGTTATTTTTTCTTTTCTAAAATAGAAATTATCTCGCGAACACTTGTCGTTAGTATTAACTAAATTAATTAAATGTATAATTAAAATTAAATAATTTTAATATATATCAAAATTAAAAATACAACTAAAATTATAATTAAATTTGCGTTTATTGGTTTATTCAGTGAAAACTAGACGTCGTATTTTATGCCATTTTTTTCACTTCAAAAATTTTATAAGTATTTTTCAAAATTATGATTTTATTAGTCATCTTTTTATATTATAATTCCAATTTGGTTGAACATATTTCATATAAATTACAAATTTTAATTTTCGGAGAAATTAATTTGAATACATATATGGAGTGTTCGAAATTCCCATTTCATCCACGCATTCCTCGACCGATAATGCAAATATTCGGCTTTCAAGCAGCGTATCGTTATTAAAGCACGACGGATCGTAGAGCTAGATCATGAATTACGTGACACACCTGTGTGTGCAGGAATCACCGCGGTCCAGCTCGTCGGTACTATTGTATGGCTGATGATCGAGCCGCCGGACACGACGGAGATCCATCCGTATCCACTGTCAGCGGTGCTAACCTGCCGCGTGTCCACGTTCTCCTTAATGATGTCCTTGGTTTACAACATGTTCCTGATTCTGATGTGCACCCTGTACGCGTTCAAGACACGCAAGATCCCGGAGGACTTCAACGAGGCCAAATACATTGGCTTCACTATGTACTCCACGTGCATCGTCTGGCTGGCTTTCGTGCCGATCTACTTCGGCACCAACAACGACTACAAGGTCTGTGCGATGTGAGGAATTGCGAGCCGCGAACGCGAATTACATACTTACACGTTCCACCCGACGAGCCTCACGGCGCGTTTTTTTGTGTTAACATGTAAAGTCGAGCGGAGGGCTGCCTACGTTGCAGGTTCAGATCGCGAGCATGTGCATGTGCATCAACATCTCCGCCTCGGTCGCCCTCGGCTGCCTCTTCACGCCCAAGGTCTACTTAGTGCTGTTCCAGCCCTACAAGAACGTTCGCCCCGGACACCCTAACGTATGTACAATATTGGTTTTGTTACTTATCCCGTCTAACAATTAATCCGAGGAACGAGATACGCGAAATTTCCCTAGAATTAGACGGAAATTAAACGTAGCTTTTCCGAATTTTATAAGAAATAACGTTGTATATTTACTTTTCTGTGAAATAATTATGTCATATTTTTTTCTGAAATAATATCATATTAAATTTGACAGAATTAAAGCTGTATTTTATATTCGATAATCCAACTTGCGTTTTGTCGTATATATTTTCCTAAATTACTGATTTTTCTCCCACAAGTGAATCAATTACTACTTGATAATATTTGTCTCTATTACATTCTGATGTAAGACGCTTTTTTATAGAATTTGATAGATGCGGTGACAAATTGAAATTTACTGTTAAATGGTTTATTGATTAGGTGAGAATGACGGAAATTACAGATTCAATTCTCTCGGATCAACACATTTCTCTTTCCAATCCTTCCGTGTGTTAGTGTTACGGTTGGCTAATTCCTGGATACTCGTTATCGAATTAAAACAGATCCCATCATCGAAACTGTTTGTCCTGGTTTCCACACTGTGTTTATGAACACAGGTGTCTTGCGCGAGGGAGAGCTATTCAAAACATTTCATAGGAACATAGTGAAATTCCGTTATATATCGTAAAGTCTATTAAGAAAATTTATTCTTCAAAACTAAGATATAACGGGAAAGCTGCTCAAGAATAATATTAGGTCCGTGCAAAAGTTTTCATCTCTCATGTATAAATTATTCGCTTCAAAAACAGAGATTTCTATTATCGTGGTATTCATCTTTCGTCCGAAGGACGGGAAAAAGTCGACAGATAATGTCGGAAAATATTTTGACTAAAAATATTGTATCATTTATGAAATGTTACTAAAGAAAATGGCCTTAAAAACGATGGAAACTTTTGCGTGCCGTTAATAATATCTTTATCAGCGGAACGTTTAAAAAATAATGTAAAAACTGCAAAGTTTTATGTCTTTTTTTTTTTCGTAAATAATGTTCAGTACAATTAAAAAGGTAATTCTGTGCAGCTTTGCTATGTCGCGGTATAATCGGAATGAAGACGGATCTTTCACAAGCCTATATTTCAATTAAACAGTGTGCATGTAAACACGCACGGGATAAATGAACACATAGGCACCGTATTCAAACATTATCCATAAACAAGACTGATTGTGAATGTTACACCGAGTTGGACTGGATGCACTAGTGCACACCGCGTAAAGGCCGGATTCTAATCGACGTAAAAGCATGTGCTAACACGCCAGCAGTTCAATCAATCGAATGCTCACCATATAAGTCATAGCATTGTTTGCAGAATTTATGCGCGAGCAGAGAATTTCCATTCAATTATGCAAGACACTCGTATATGCTATCTTTATACATTTGCGAATCTGCACGGAATAACTCTGGCGCAGACGTGCAGCCGGTCGGATTCGCTTGATCGAACCTTTTCTCTCGCCCCTTGCGTCCAATTTGCCATCACAATAATGCTAAAAAAAAAAAAAAATGTGGGCACTCCACAGACGGGCGGCTTGCAGAGCGGCAATCGTGGGGTGTACAGCATGCGCTTCGCCGGCGGTCGCAGCCAGACGATGCAGAGCGTGACCTCGGGCTCGCGCAGCAGCCCGCCGATGTCCCGCGCTGGGGCTGGACGTGCGGACGAGCGGAAGCACGCGAACGGTGAGACCCAGGCGCTGGCAAGTCCGTCGGTCGAGGAGACCTCCGTTAGCTAGGTCGCTCTCATACACCTCCCTCCCTGTCCAGAGCATCGGGCGAGGATGCGTGAGACCGAGGCGGAGGTGTATGTCAACGGCGACGCCGACGACGGCGGCTGCGGCGGAGGCGGCGGCGGTGGCGGCGGCGACAACAACGGCGACGACGACGACGAAGAGGAGCGCAAGTTGTCGATCGTGCAGGAACTGCCGGAGCTGAGCGCCAGCCCGCCGATGAACCTGGCGGTGTGCCAGCGCGAGAGGAGTCGAGAGGCCGTGCCGCGCCGCGACCCCGATCAGGTGACGGATTTTCCTCGCTTTCGATAACAACTTCTGGTTAGATCATTCCCGCGGGGCTGACGGCAAATTGAGCGATTGGCCGTTTTGAAAGAGCGAGCTATCCCGCAGAGTCTGATCGAATAAAATTGATTTTCCCTCGTTGATTGAAAGTTAGTCCGCGAGAAATTTTTTTACTGCCAAAGCTGTTAAACTAGTTTGTATTTTATTTAGATCTTGTTTTATTTCAGCAAAACAGCTCAAAGCTATTTTCAACTTTTACCGTAAACATAGAAACTGATAGAGACGAGTGACTCTACGCTCAGCTTCGTGTCATTGCGAAACATCGCAAACACTGCGATATAACGCGCAATGCGATTCCTAATCCAGATCTTTTTCTGTTTCCCTCTCGAGCCGAGTGATCGCAACGAAGCCGCGATCAGCAGCATCTCCGAGAAAGTGGAGGCGCGCGTGAGAAAAGAAGGGGCTTCGTGCTCGAACGAAGAGCAGATGCTAAGCTACAGCGACTCGCCGACCTTCTCCGAGTTCTCCTCGTAGTATTCGAACGATCACCTCGAATCGCGACGGATTTCTTTCAGCACCCTTCAGTGATCTACCGACCAGCGCGAGGGGCATCGTTTATCTCATCACCGCATTTTATAAGCGCCAGACGTTTTGTATCTTCCTACGAGATGTGAGCGATATGACAACCCTTGCTCAATCCTTTGCACTCGCGTACTCGTTGCGTGATTTATGCGACATCACACGTACAATTGCACACCTAAATCTGACGGATATCTTCATTTTAAATTAGATTATTTGATTGAAACGTAAAGAAGCAAAAAGAGCCTCTTTTATCTTTCAATTTCATATTTAATCTCATTGGAGCCTTTATAACATTTATTTCAATTATTTGATTTTGAAAAATGACAGATAAACGTGAAATTGAAAAAGCATTCCATTTTAATGCACGGAAATGTATTGACATATTAATTTGTTAAATAACTACAAACGGATTAATAAAGTCATCAACATTACCGAAATAATTTTGAGTGCACGGGATGGCAATTAAGACCGCATACAAAAGCTCCGATATTCGACACTGCGACGTGTTCGATCGTCCGTAAAAATGGTGGTTTTGCAGACTACGATTTTGTATAGTTATTCATATCTGAAACCGTCGTGCTTTGTTCGTCAATGCGTGAATGCTATGCTCTTGCCGACATTCAATAAATTCCAGTATCACGCGAGTGAGTTTTTTGGTTCATTCATCTCTCGTGAACACAAAGGTCTTCTTTTTGTCTACGTGTGTACACTAATAACACGATGGAGTTTGTATTAGTTTTTGATCGAGTAACCTTGAGTAAGTATCTCAAACATTTCGACGCGGAAACAATGGACGAAATACCAGAACTGTGCTCGCGTTGTTTTTTACATGAGAGCAACATATCTTCAATACGTGGATTCCTGTACGTAACTGTCCCCTACGTAATTATTCGTTGTTTTGCAGTTGTTCGATTTTTGGTGATTGAAAATGCAAAGACATGCTGGAATTAATTTTACTTTCATGTTTGTTACATACGACTGTGCTACAAATATTGTCGTTTTATTGCGATGTGAAAGATTCAGAGTGCATATGCATGTTCAAAGAATAATAAAATTCCTCGTTTAATATTCGTGTCACAATTATTTCCGGATATTAATAGTGCGTGATTCTAATAATAAATTACTGTCACGGGGAAAATTCTTAAAATTCACTCAGTGATATTGGAATACTTTGTACATACGTTAATTAATTATGAACGGATATGAGTGTATTTTAGGATATGCGAAACTATTTAAAAGTCGATAATCAAATTAATCGAAGTAATTTCGCATCTTATCGCTCGAAGGCGAATCGCAGATACGGATGTTAGTAATAGCGATAATCTCAGTCCTAGTTAGCGCAGTAGAAACAAGAATAGCGATTATAATAATAGTAACAGCATGTGTAGGAATGCCAGTTGCCAAATACTCGAAACAGGAATATGGTCGAAGTGATCTAATCGTCTTTAAAAATTCATCCGCTGTCAAGTTTATCTTTAATTCGACTTTATGTGCAAAGCAATAAAAAAATATACATGAATTTGATACAAATTAAACATATGTTACAATTTATCATGTTTTACATTGTTAGTGTAGAAAGTTTGTCATTATTTAATTTCAAGTAAAAATGACGCGTCAAGTTACGATGGTTTCCAAAAATCTAACATCACACATTAGCTCGGACGTAACTTGAGATACAATGCACTAAAAGTGAGACAACGATAAATCGATTTTTAATGCATTGACGTGTCGAGTACCGAATGAAAAGTTATTTTCACTGCGTTTTACGGGAAAGAGGAGAGATCACATTGACCCCAAAATAACGTTCCTGTATAAAAAAAAAGCCAAAATCAAAACGATTTTACTCTTGCAGCACGATAAGAATTGTTAGTTAAGAAAGACTCGACGAAACGTTTCGGCGGTAGTTATATAAATGTTGTTATAGCCATTATAAAAAGCGTAGAGCGTAGCAGAGAGTAAGCGAAGACAAAATCTATTGAAAAACTCGTTAGAGCTGTTATTAATCTAAAGAATATCGAAAGATACTAATGTCTTATTAATCCAATTTTTATGTGGCTGTGTGCGCATTGTACAATAGGACATGTTATTATTTATTTACTACGTTATTTTTATTATTATTATTTAAAACGAATCTTGACGTATAATAAGAAATACTTATGCATCGCCGAAATCAAGTTTGGATACAACTTTCAAAATGCTTTTCTTACAGAACGATCAAAATTATTTTGTTTCCCGAAAAAATGTACATCTGTATAAGTTTACTTTGTTGTACATTTTCTTATTTTTACAATGTGTATCCGAACTTTTTTTTGGTTTAGATTTAAGAAACATCGCGGATTTCAGCCTGTACTCTGTCGATGTTTCATGGTCGTTAAATTAATGAGACATCTAATGACAAAGCGTCTATAAATGTACATAAATTACAATTATAGTTAAGCAGAATCGTGGAATCTTTTATTTCATCGAGAAATGGATACTTCTTAATTAATGGTTGTACAAAATATTATAGAATGTTGGATTATAAAAAGACGCTGCATTGACATTGCGTGCATGTATTAATAGTTGTTATACGTGTGTACTTATGTGCCTAGAATCGCGAACTACTTTTCGTGTATATCAGTGTCCGCGTGATTAAGTCGAGCAACGATAAAAGTCATCAAAATATTTTCTCCAAAAATAATAAGATAATACAATTTCAAATAACGTATGTTTTAAGCCTCTTATTGCATATTATTTTACCGTGACAATAAATTTGAATTTGAAATTCATCATAAGTATCTTTATAATTTTGCAACAATAAGCAATTTAGAAATTTCACGTTATGTAAAGATAAATCTCTTTATTACAATTTATTATGATTAATACTATTTATAAACGTACGTTTGATAACGTTTGAAAGCTTTTATTGTACATATATTGTATTATTATGACAAAATTAAAATTATATTACTGTATAATTTTGCAACAATATGTAACTTAGAGATTGTATTATATTTAATTAAGGAGTAAAAAAAAAGAATATTATTGATGAGTAATCGTTATTCGACTTAATGAAAAATCGAGTAGTGAGATGCACAAACGATTGTTAAATAATGTTAACTAGACATACGACGAAACTGTATGTTAAATTATCGGCCCGAAGAGAAGGTGCGTACATAACTTCATACATATACAACTGCCTGCGATAATAAACCGACTAACGAATGAAGACACTGATGGACTCTGTGCAGAACAGTGCTAATCTCGTAGTGACCTTTTCGCACGGGTGACACCTTGTTTAAGTGCAAATCCTTGCGATATCTCATTCTAAAGCTTCAGATGAATCGACACGATTCTAACTTTGCTCTAGTTAGAACTTCTACGATCCTATTGGATCGAATCATATCTTCTTGTCATCTCGTCGCGTCACGGAGGACTCGAATGATATAGAACGATGCCAAAAAGTACCTAAAGAGATACCGTTATTCAAATCTGCCTCACAGAAATTATTATTTAAATAAGACGGATTTAATTGTAGAAAAGTCGAATCGGGAACACTGACATGATTGGCGAAAACGAAAACGGGGCGGAAGTGTATTCCGGTACACCAAACATGTACCTTAGAACGATTAATTAAACCAATGAACTGATAATACCGCTGCGCGGTACAATCTATAGCAGAATCTCACATACTCGTTTAGTAAGCAACGGGATTACCAATAGATTGATAACATATATCTACGTGTTTGAAATTAATATTAGCTAGAGCGTGGAAAGAATACATATACATATAATAACGAATACGAATGAGAATTCTCGGCTTACCGCGTAAAGAATGTTCCGATCGCAGAGAAGTCTCAATTTTAAACAGAGTTTTATATTATACGGTGCCAAATTGATGTTAGCACAATTGAAACTTTAATAGATACCTTACAAATAATTACAAACCGTATTACGTAGGATTAAGGACAGCGAGAAAATCGTCGTTTCTTGAAACATTAAGTCGATATATTAAGCGCGGATAAGATTTTGTAAATAAGAAAAGAACATAAATATATACGTAATATGTAATACAATATATATATATATACATATATATATATATATATATATATATATGTATATATATATATATATATATGTAGTGCACGATATCAAATCTGTGTGCGGAAGCGATGCGGCTAAAGAGGCCGTTTATATATTTATCTTCGTGAATAAGATTCATATTAAATCCAAATTACAATTGAAACTCTGGTTCCTTTCAAATTTCACGTTACAGATAATCTTACTTAAGCTTAATAAGATTACTTTTTATATCTGTATAATTATCTTTAATGCTAAGTATTACACTAAAGATATTTCTTTCTTAATTAAAAACGAAAGGGATATGCCACGTACAAGTCCTGCGCGATCCTGCGTCAGAATTAGCATCGCCGATATAATTGAACCGTGAGATATTGATTAGAATAATTCCGAAATTGTACATTCGCGTCGTTTTAGCGGCGTATTATTCACTATGTAAATAACATTATTATAGAACGAGAAGTTTGAACTTTTAGACCGTCATGTGTGTGGAGTTTCCTGGCAACCCTGTGAACTTTAAGAAAGATCACGCTCCATTATACAACCTCTATTGATTGCCTTCCTTTTTAACACGCGTTAACACGCCACTAATTCGATATCGGTTCGTTTCGACCGTGAAAGAAATATTTTCTGCCCGATGCGCCGCGTGTGTGCAATAATGCATCGCGAGTGCGTCTCTCGTAAGGAAACTAGTGGTGACATAAATTGTAACATAACAAATCAAGGAGCATCACTGATACGATAGATTTTTTTTCACCACTGAAATACGTGCGTATCCCTCCGCTGATATATTTTTTTTTTAATCGAAGAAAGCTTGTCTCAGTCTTAAAGAAAAGGGCGCTTACATTACTTTGTTTAGAAAAGTTAGCGGGTTTAACTGGCAGTTCCGTGAGCCTAATTACATTTAGTTATCTGCACTAATTTTTAAGTATTTTGCATCGGCGTACCGAGTTTGCCTATCCTCTTCCGGGCTAAAGAGTATATATAATTTACGTCACTGAGTAAGACTAACTAGAGCGACGTTAATCTTATCCCACGATCTCGTCGTACATTAAGTAGATAGATCGAACGAACTTAGACTGATTAACGCGAATCTCCACGGAGATGTGGGTTTTTTTATAAGCGTCGTGCGTATATCGGAAACACGCGATGTGAACATCATGCGTCAATTAATAGCACACTTAAGTTAGCGAACGTGTCCGCGATGTTATTTGCGTTGTGCCGGCGATCGGACCTGCAACAGGCTGTCGCTTGTATTAAATGTGTATAGAAATTCGCGTAACTGTTTCTGGTTACGATTACACTTTAAAACAATTACGATGTACAAGTGTCGCTGTCTACTTATTCTGTTTATATTCCGACTAGCTCTTAGAAGGTTCTCTTTCATTACTTATATTAATTCTCGCCGGCTAAAATAATGATAGATAAATTTTCAAACACCTCTTCTTTATTTGTAAAATATATCTTTTTGATAGAATTAATTTGATAAAATATTTAATTTATAATGTAAAATCTACTGTAATAATTATTATATTCAAAATTTATATTTATATTTGGTTTTTTAATTTAGTAATAAATATATTTTTATCTTACTAGTTTTACAGGGTGGCTCAGAAATTATTAAAATTTACTTTTAAATTATTAAAATTTAATTTAAAACAATGCGCTCGTGTGTATAGAAAAATTATTACTTTATCACTTTTAAACTTTAATATGACAGAATAAAATTTCAATTTATTAAATATATTTTGGTCGGGCGAGAATTAATGCTATAAGTTATTGCCATTTATCATAACGACAATATCAATGTTTATAATGGCTCACAAACATTCCAGGATACTCAGCCACATTTATTATAGACCAGCACCATTTGGCATGCGTAGATTTTCAATAAATATTCATTCTAAGTTGTTATTAATTATATACGCTTAGTTGCCATTGTAAGACAATTTATTATACGTTTACCATATTCTATAATAAATGTTGTCAATAAATCATTTTTGTCGCAAATTGGACACTAACAATAAGATTAATCAATTTTACAACCTTTTCCTTTTATTAATATTACATCTAAATGATTTCAAATGTTAAAAATGCACATTTTATTCATTTCTCTGTCTTAGAATTTTCTAAGCATTTCATAACATTTAATAGGCTTAAAATTTTAGAAATGGCTTAGTGTTAAAATATACATTTTATTTATTATTAGACACTATAATACCGATATGATATAGAATTCTAAAGCAAAAAAATGAATAAAATCTTACATCATAACATTTGGTAGGCTAAAATTTCAGAATGTATTCTTTACTGCAATGCATTAAAACCTTACATTTTAAACAAAGAAATGGTCTAGAACGTTAAAATATACATTTAATTTGTTTGTATGCCTCAGAATCTTATGTAATATCGATATAATATAGGATTCTAAAGCATAAAAATGAATAAATTGATTAAAAAGTTAAATTTTTTAATAATTTGATTTATTTTAATTATTTTTATTTTTTAAATATATATTATTGTCTAGGTAAATTATTATAATGAATGTAATAAAGATATTTAATTATAATTAGTGAAAATAAATATTATTTCTATAACGAAGAAAATTTTATTTTCTGAAAGGTGCCCGCTCATCATCAGCCTATTTGTTACACAGACCCTTCCGAGTCAAGGCTATCGGCGGCTCGGCCGCTTGATAGTGGGAGAGCGGAAGGCGTCCTCTCAAGAATTGAGCCGAAATGTGCAACTAACGCCGAGCTCTGAGTTACATTATAACATTTGTTAAGTTAAATAAATATAATATTATAAGGCATAAAAATGAATAAAATATTTCGCCCAAATGGATGTTCAGTCCAGACGGTGATGGTGTATTCTAATGCATCGTTATTATTAACAATAAATCAAAATTATAAACAATTATTTTTAATTTTTAAAATAAATTTTATTTGTGATTAAAAGTCCTAGATGGAATGAATGAAAGAAACAGTCAAAACGATATATTTACTTATTATATGTATTTTTACCTATGTATTTTATACATATGTATTTTATACATGTATTTTATACATGTATTTTATACATTAAAACAAGTATGCACGCACATACTCACAGCGCTCAAAAAATAATTAGCCTGCTACAAATATGAGTTGGAAAAATATATATGTACATTACAATATTACATATGTACATGTTGCAACAATAGAAAAATTTATGTACAATCGTATCACGGTTTATTATACCGAACTCGCTGTCGATCTTGATGACTGTAATACTCATTAAAAATAAGTTTACATAAAAACAAATGGAACACAATTATCAGGAAGCATATGCTAACCCAGAACAACGTTGGCAAACCTCCGAGCTGATGTCCATGTTTATGCAAAGCCATCACCTGGTGATCATGCGCCGGCGCTTAAAGAAAAATCGTATAAATATCAATTCTTTAATGCATTTTTTTTATGAATCTAAATAAAGATTAGCTTATATGTGATAATTTTATTGCATTATTTTGTTCGCAGTAATATAATTTGTAAAATACAAAAAAATCGATATTTTATGTTATTTTAAAATTTAATAAGCAATAAAAAAATTAGATAAAAAATATGTAAAAATGTCTATTCTTTTTACAGAGAAATATAATCAAATTACATTTTTATTATAAAAAACAGAATTCTATATCGACAGAGTTTCTAAATTATTTTGAATAAAAAATTATATATTTGTTTACCTACCATCATCTACTTCGTGAACATGCAAAGCATTGCGAAGATCTTGCATATGCTGATGATCGGATGTTATGTAAAGTATCGCCGTTAACGGCTTTGTTAACTTCACGGGAAAATTCGTATAAGTCTGACTGAGAGGAACCGGCGCGTCCAAACAGCCAGCATCACATCCGAAATAAACGCTATCACTTTTATCCAAAGCTACTCCTAATAGCGCGCGATTATCCTCACCGACTGTTACAGATATATTCACATGCGTTAAATTTCCATAACTTATACGCCTGAAACAAATATAATATATTCCAGAAATAAATTAATTTATTCATATAAATAAGGATATAAGTATAAAGACCGTTGCAAAGAAAAATAATGACACTTTCAAAGAAATGATTTTCACTTGAAAAGCGTCCATCTCTTTTTCTGTAAAACTGTTTTGATACAATCTATTATCAATTAACTTTTTATTTTAATTATATGTTTAATTAAGTTGATGATAATAATAGACGTACAGTACCTGAATAAATAATCGCGATGAAGATATTGCGGATCAATATTAAATTCGAGATGTTGATTGCTGAATCTCAGTCCACCGAGACTTAGTACAATTGCCTGTTGAACGGCTGCAGGACCGCCAATCACCAAATGATGACAGCCTTGTTTCTCCAGTGTTATCAACCATGCCTCGACTATCTCGTTCACAGCATCGATAGACGAGGCATCCTTCCACAAACGGGGAGCATCCCTAAGCGACAGAATCATTAATTGTTATGAGTGAATTATTTTATAGGGACAACGCAATTCTAATCATGCTTACAAGGTGTGATGACCTCGATAACAACCCTCGTTCATACCAACATTTTTCTCCACATCTGGAACACTCCGCGGTACCTGAGATAATACATAATACATGGTGGAGTTAATTTTGTGACCGTTGATAGCACCCTCGGCCTTGGAATCGCTTATTCTCAAACTCGTGTACCAATAACTCTGCCAGAGATTCACATGCTCTTCTCTCAAGCTTCGTTGCTGACGCGCAATTGCTTTTTTTATCAACTGTAAAATAAAAACTAATGTATATTTTTTCAGCAATAATCAGTGAAAGAGCTTTTGATTATTTACTTACGTCAGTCGCCTTCTTTTTGGTTATATCGCGTTCCGTGTGATATTGTTCAGATGAAATCGGCTCGCTGTACTGAATGCTCGACAGGAACTCCAATTTAACAGAATTGTGAGCTTTTACCTGTACGACTTTAGGTGGAGCCTTATAAATTATCGATACTACTACTATCTTGTTGGAATTTGATTGCGGTACAAATCCAGATATGAGAGTATAATCATGATTGACCCCATCAACTTGAATCCTATCATTAAAAATAATTAGTAAAAGAAAATAAATGTTAAATTTTATTTCACGATATCGTTAAGCTGCTTACCTAACGGGTTCTATGTGAGAATTACCCCAGTGAATAGATTCCTGCGGTTTCAATGATACCTCTTGAGAGAGTGAAAAAGGATTAGAAATCTTTATAGTCTGCACTAAGATTCCCTCGAGACCTCTATGAGCATAATATTGAGAGTCTATGTAATATCCCTCTCTAAGGCACTGATACTTATAAACAATCCCATTTGTGAAATGAACGACAGTAGCTTCTCGATAAAAGTTATCCTTGGGTATAATATATGAAATCAATGGCTGCCACTGTACTGGCAACAAAAGCGCTCTACCATGTTTAATGTATAGCCAGCCTTCTGGATAAATGGGTATTCCAAAAACACCATTTCCAATATAGGGCAGATAAGAATGTTCATTTTTCTTAGGTGGATTGTGTAAAATATTTGCATTATATTCAATAGCATCAAAGTAAAAACTGGCCAGCCTTTCATTTATGCAATGATCCTCAAATGCTATAAAAAAATATTAAACGTATTAATATCTCTTTAACAATTAATATAAATGTAATATTTCTTAACTATATATGACACTACAATTTTTTAGATATATTATGCAGAAGTAGATTTAAAAAACTAAGAAATATATATTTTTCTTTTACAAAAACTTATTATATATATTTTTTGTATTAAGAACAATTTGTAATATAACTGTGTACACTTTAATTTAATAAGTCAACTAAAAGGTTTAAAACTTAACTACCAATAAGTTAATAACACTACAATGCTAAGAACAATTCGTATTTAAAACAGAAAGTAGCTAAGTATTATCAGTCAACTATTTGCTCAATGTTTTATGTTAAAATTCTGTTTACATAAATATTTCCAATACATAAGGATTTCCCAAAAGTCATCAACTCAATTCTGATGTATGCATTTTTTTTATAAGACACAGTAATATGTTTAGCCATCGAAACAGAATAAACATTTTAAGTCCTATGAAGACAACAAAATTACCTTCTATTGGCTCTCTGGTGGTGGAAAAAAGCCATTGCGCAAAGGACGGACCAAAATACAGTAGCAGACCGCCGAAGACTAGGACGATCAACAGGATCTTGCGATATGAGTAATTGCCATCCAAGAGACGACGCACACGCTTGCCGAACTCGCGGCCGTCCAGCATGCCGCCGGTTCTCATCGTGAAAGCGTTCGTGCGTCAATGAAACGTGTATACCCGAATATCGCTGCTGGTTCCGTCGTCGAGTCGACGACGGTGAACATAACCTTATCACGGAGAAAGTGTCGCATAAATCACTGATAAGAAAATCCTGTCTTCCTACGACATCGTTTTGAACTATACGTAAATTACGCCTACGTATACATGGGCGAACATGAGCGTAGGATGTCAGAACGCATTGTCGGAGGATGCATCATTAGAGGAACCACACACGCGACATAAACAATACGACCGGTCCTTCCAGGTCCTTCACACTAGAGAATCTATATGATTTTGTAGTAATTCACAAGTACACATACAGGTGGCGATAATATTAGGCTCCAGGCAGCGCTTCTATCGCTAAGGGCCGGCTGTTTCAACTTTTTTTGGGTGTACCGATATTTATTAATAAATATCAGTAATCCTTACTCGGTGATTGGAATACCGAATAAAATTACCTCTATTGTTATTACCAAGAGGTAATTTTACTCGGTATTCTAACCATAAATAACTGACGGATGAACCAAGAAGTTCGAACAATCAATCCACAATAATGCCAGATTTGAGACGCAAGCAGCACGCATGCGCAAGCCATGCGATATTCGCCCCACTCATGCTGCTTGCTGCTTATGTCTCAAATCTGGCATCACTGAGCTAACCACGACAGCTGATGGCGGTCGGCCGTTAACGGTGACATCCGCCCCCTCGTCTTCCCCGTTACGCGTTTCCGAGTACCGATCGTCGTCGACGTCGATACCGTCGCCGGACCCCCCACACAGCACCGATTGCACTTTCGCCAGAAACACATGGCCACTCCGAAAGCATAATTAGACGAGTTAGAAAGCGAGCATAAACATGACTTGGTGTGACGAGAAGTGCCTTCTGTATTCTGGAACGAGCATCGCGGATTAAACACACTCGACCTCGTAATAATTATCAAGACCTTGTACGTTTTATTTCCTAAATATATTGGAGAGTGTCAAAATGTTAATCAAGTATTGCATGTGTCAAGTTTAAATAATTTTCAGGTAAGGTAAAGAAATGAAGCATAAGTATTTCAGATTATAACTATAATGGTGTTATTATGCAGTAATGTCAATGATATGTCAAAGGTTTAAGCTCATTGTATGAACTTTATTGATAATAGTGATGAACTATTGATAATTATGATAATTATATGTATTACAACAAAGCATTCTTGATGATTATAATAGAAAATTTAAATTCTCTGATCTTAATTAGCACAATTTTGAATATTTTTTTCATCATCTGCTTTGATTATCTTTAATATTTTGTTGTGTAGTTAATTAAAATACCTTGTTTTATTGATAACATCAAAAATTAATAATAGATGCTTCTATTTTTAAAGAAATGTTTTTTGCTTCAGTTATCAGTGTATGTTAATTACAGTGGTACTATTTTCAATTTATATTATTAATTTTCCAGTCCACTCAGTTTCACTGCTGTGAACGAATAATGAACATTTAAATTTGGTGATACATATGAATTATCAGAACATAAAGGATTGATACTTATAATATGCAAGAATCATGATAGCTGAAGATTTAATCTAAAACATTACACTTATTTGTGAGAAAGAGGACACATACAATATATAGTGGCAGCAGATATGTTTGGTTGTCCTAGAGAAGCTGTACGAGTCAAAGTTAAGGTATGATCAATTAGAAATTTATTACTACTGTAGTGATCAAATCAATCTCTTATTTATAGGACAAAAAATTATTTATAGGACAAAAATTACAATAAATTTTTATGTACATTATATTCATATTTAAATACATTTTATATACATTATTGTAAAAACAAAGCAATAAATTACTGTAACAATTATAAACATATGTGTGATAAATATGCAGTAGAGCTTATAAATCATATCATATATGTCTATGTGCAAATTTTTTATGCATTTACATTAAAAATATGGCTAATGAAGATGATAAAGATGTATTTACGAAGATATATTTCTTTAGAAATGCGAAACCAGGCATCAACCCGAGTATCGCAAGTTCAGTGTGGACCCTCAAATAACATCGATAGAGGTACTGCAGAGCATCCTCATCAAGGCTTTCGACATAAAAGGGTAAATCGCAATAATAATAAAATTAAATGGTATGATTTAAATAATTTTCTTTTAATAGAGTAAAAATAAAATATATTAATCAGTTATTGAGTATGCGTGAAGCTGATATATTATTTCGTAAACACTCATTAATTATTGAAAGTTCTAGCTTTATTTCTAATGAATCTAGAGTTTCCGGTAGATTAAACAAATAGGTCATAAAACAAAGAAAATGCTTTAGAACAAACTGAGACGTTAGCAAAAATTGTACCTATCATATTTCCATAGTTGACTTTAAAAGTAGTCATTTTCTAATTGCTTACATATTCTAATAAGAGTTCTATGCATAAAAAAGTTGTAAAATATTTATTAAACAATTTAAATTGCGCAAAAGACCGTATTTAAGCATAATAAAGACATAGAATATTGCCGTATTGCTACTCTTTGATTTATGACCAGAAATTTATAATATTTGTTTAATCTATCAGGAACTCTCCAAAATTATTAGAAATAAAAACTCTCAATAATTATTTTAATGAGTTTCTACAAAATAATACACCAGCTTCACAGTTATTGAAGAAAATTTTACAACTTTTTAAAAGATGTTTATATTAAGAGATAAATGTGGAATAAATAAATTCAAAAAATATGTGACTTATTAATATATGAATTAATTACTTAATAAAATATAATATAATTTAAATAATTTTTTCGTAATATAGAAAAAAATGATAAAATAAATGAAATAAATGATAAGATAAAGAAAATAAAAAATAGATAAAGAAATAATACATTAAATAATTAACTTTTTAAGAAAAATTTTACACTGATAATATGTACAATATGTATAATATGTAAAATGTTAAAAAAAGCTAAATATTTATTATTATTTCTACTTGAATAATGCAATCTTTTCTTTTTAAAAGTCACAATTATGTAATTGATGAATGATACACACATACCATTTTTTATTACTCCAACTATCACTTGGCAAAACATCACGGATACAAAAGATACATTTTGAAATAAACTTGTGCATGTGCAAATGTCCTTGAAATGATCGAAGCGCATTCGCCGCGCCATAAATTATTAAACAGAATGTCGTAAAGATTGCTCGCGTGCCACAGGGAATTCACCGTTTCATATCGAGCGATCGACGATTATGGCTCGGAGACGTATCTATTCCTACTCTCGGACTGGGACTTAGACGCCGCGTTCATCAGGTGACCAGCCGATTAAACGACTGTTGATTAACAGATAATCGAACATTCCGATAAGCATGTGTGTACTTTCGGCTAACGTGGATTCTTTCAGCGCGTCCGAGCCGTACCTCTATCTGCAGGTGAACCTGAAACCATTCGGCGAAACCGGAGACTGCGAGTGCTACTGGGAGCAAAATGCGCAAGAAGTCTCGACGCGTCAGCAGGAAACGGGGTTTCCTTACAAGACGCCAAAACTACCTGGTCTCATAATGAATAAGGCAAGTGCAGCCGCACGTTCAATCGATATCAGCGAGATATCAGCGAGACAGTATCGAAAGTTCTTAATACTCTCGCAGAAATGTCAGAAAACATGAAACGCAAAGAAGTGACAAATCATTTACTACGCATTCTTCGTTCAACCAAAAGTCACGCGCAAATCTTGATTGTAATTAAAATTATTATTTTAATACTTCCATTTTTGTTCCGTTAGTATTTCTCGATTTATCGGTTCTTTGAGAGTTTTTGTTAGTTCATTATTTTACTTCCATTATTATTATGATTGTTCGATGTATTTTATTCCTTTAATTTTTTGTCACAGATGGAAAGGACACTCAATATGGTACAGCGTGCGTTGGGCAACTTGGGTGAAGAGTCGTCTCATCAGCAGAGTGCTCAGCCTCCACGGCCACCGCTGATGGACGCTGAGTTTCGTCGATTTCTAGATCCAATCGGCCAGGTGGTGCACTCCAAGGAGCTGCGGGCGGTTATTTATTTCGGCGGGATCGAGCCAAGTCTGCGCAAGGTGGTCTGGAAACATATCCTGAATGTATACCCGGAGGGGATGTCGGGTCGCGAACGCATGGATTATATGAAGAGGAAAGCGCAGGAGTACCAAAATTTACGCGAACGATGGAAGGTGCTGGTGCAGAAGGGACAGAACATCGGCGACCTCGCTTATGTCACCGGTATGGTGAGGAAGGATGTCCTGAGAACGGACAGGCATCACAAGTTTTACGGTGGCTCAGACGACAATCAGAATATCGCAAGTCTCTTCAACATTCTGACGACGTATGCTTTAAATCATCCGAGTGTAAGCTACTGCCAGGGCATGAGCGACCTGGCCTCGCCTCTCCTCGTCACGATGCGGGACGAAGCGCAAGCCTACATCTGCCTCTGTGCTCTCATGAGAAGAATGAAGGACAACTTCATGCTCGATGGTATTGCCATGACTACCAAATTTGCTCACCTCGCAGAAGGTATGTGGTCTTTGAAAATGTATCTCATTCATTCCGTAAGTTTTTAAACAGAATGTTCTACAATCTTCTATTTTCATCGTATAATACACACTTTCTATCAAAATATTATAAGCTTTTCAGAACTAATTTTTAGTATTTTGATATTTTCTAATTAGTCTAATTGTCAATTATTTAATCTATATAATTACAAACACATTTCTTAAACTGTTTTCTTTGAGATGTGTAATTATCGAAAATTAATTTTTTAGTAAAAATATTCCATTGTTTTTCTTCCATTCGTGTCTTAAATCTTCTGCTAAAATATTTTTATATATAAATTATAAACTCTCAGAAGAAATTTTTAATCAAATATTAATGTTTTATAATTAATCAATTTTTTTCAATTAAAATTTTGTGTCTCCAATATTTTGAACATAATTCTAAGATGTAATTCCCTGCAGGTCTCCAGCACTACGATCCTGACTTCTACGCGTACTTAAAATTGCATCAAGCGGATGATCTACTATTCTGCTATCGCTGGTTGTTGTTGGAAATGAAACGTGAATTTGCGTTGGACGACGCGCTCAGAATGCTTGAGGTTCTTTGGGCGTCTTTACCCGCATCACCGCCAAACGGCGAACTGGGTCTTGCTGAGGTGCCTTTTCCACCGCCATCGCCGCCTCCAAGTCCGAACGTCAAGCATATTCGCGAAAACGCCTACACCAAAGTCTGCGCCATTAGACGACAAAGTTCCTCAGCCAGCATTGCCGCTAACGTGAAGCGGAAAGCTTTCAGCACGGAAGAACCGTCATCTCTACAATCAGCTACCGAAATTAACGGAGAAAGGAAAAGGTTTATTGCTTGTATAATTGCTTGTACTTGCAGGCACGGAAAGCTTGCTTCTCAAATCAAATACGAAGACTAGAAGCATTTACGAAAAGATATACAGATAAAATATTAAATATTAATGAATATTCCTCAATTTTGCAATAAATGAAAATCTTATTCTTTTGCATCGTTGATTAATTTTAATAATGTTACCTGATAAACAATAATTTTAATTCTTTGATTTAAATGATTATTTTCAGATCTAATTCGCCGTACGAAACGTTCTCCGATTCAGAGAACGATTTGACCAGCACGAAGAACAGAAGGAATACCGAATCGACAGAAAAGTGCCTAAGTACAGATTCTCTACCCGTTAGATCGAAACGCTCAAATCTCCTGGAACTGACAGAGAAGTTGACTGTCTCTAACAAAGAGCAGGCTAAAAACGGCGAACAGAACGATGGTTGCGGTGAAAAGAAATGTGCGCGAGTGGTAAAGAATCTGAACGAGTTCTTGAACTTCACTAGTCTCAATCGTAACAAAGTCACGCCGAGCGATGCTGAACCCGAGCTTAGGTAATTATTTTCGCGTATCAAACTTTTGTTCATTAAATTTCCTTGAAATATGCCAATCAAATCATATTTCATACGATATGAAAACGTTATCATAGACGTGTTTCGAGCGAAAGCGGCGTGATCAGAGTGTTGAGAGACGAACCCAGCTCGCCGGACGATCCCGCAGACTTCTTCCCAATGACTACGTCGATGACCAGAGAATTAAGACTGGAATTGGAATCGCTGGATCGGCAAGTATTTGGACCTTCGCCGCCCAGCGAGATGCAATGCGATTGCGTGCTCTCAAAACGAGAAAGCGATTTACCGGAGAGCGAGACCGAGACGGAATTGGCAAGGTGCAGCCCGGCGGCGGACGTTTTTGTATGGGAGAATCCATTGCACACGTTGCAACAGAAACATCACCCCACGACTCCGGATGAGCAGGCGGAATTGGAGTATGATGGTGAAATTTTGGAGGATCAGAACGGCGTGAAATCTGTCACGCCGATCAGATTGCTTAAACGTACCACCAGGTATATATACACTTTCACAGTTTACAATATTTACAAATCTAAAAATGTTAACGAGCAAGAAATAAAATTTATGCTAGGAAGTATTTTTTCATAAATCTAAATGCTTTATTTCAACTTTCTGATGAACAAAATACACTTACAAAATTAACATCTTTATCATTTCTTTTATTTAACATTCATATAATATTAATAAAAAGTATAAAAAGTTTTCTATTAAAGAGATTTTTATTTTGAATAAAATTTTATTTTACATTGACGCGAAATTTATCGAATTTATATTTGTATGTGTCGCCTTTATATTTTAATAAAATAACATACATAAATCTTTACACTATCATAATTATAGTGAAATAATTCATATGATGCGGGGTCAAGACCGTTATTAAAATTTCAAGAAATCGCTATCCGATATACGGAGAAGTTTTTACATTTTTTATTAAATTGCTTCATGTATCTTTTAGATCCGAATCGGCATCCGATAGCGAAGGAACGGAGAGTTGGCATCAGAACGCGCCCCAGCCGGAGAGCCCGACGAAGCAGCAGCAGCAACTTGTCCAAGAGCAGTGCGAGGAGGCGACGGAGCTGACTAATCTCATACCCGCGGGAACGTGCGAGGATCAATTGGGCGAGAGCTCGCTGCCGCCTCCGAACGAATTCGGTGGTGGCAATCCGTTTCTGATGTTCCTGTGCATCACTCTACTACTGCAGCACCGAGACTTCCTTATGCGCAATCAAATGGATTACAACGAAATGGCGATGCACTTCGACAAGATGGTCCGTCGTCACAACGTGATCCGAGTACTTAATCAGGCGCGACAGCTGTTCGCCGGTTATCTCAGAAGACATTCCGCCTCCTCTTCTTCGACCGGCTCGACTTCCACCATCAAACCCGACTGCGTAAACGTATAATCCATTCCCGATCAGCTACCGAAAATATCAATTCACAATCAGACAGTCTGAGATGCAAAAAAAAAATATTTCAAGCAGAAATATTTCATCTAACTGGATTAACGGCACATATCATGGAAATTATGTCGCCGACTGGAACTTGGGAAGCTTAAGAGGACTCGAGTTAATTCTCTCAAGGTGCTCGACGTTCGCGGAACGTTCTTGACGCTTGCTGAATCCTCAGACAGTGTCTCTGATAAACCGTTAATTTTTACAACTTTTTTTTCCAATATGTAGATAAACTACCTTTCAGCTAATTAAATAAAAAATTACCCACACATCCGTAATTAATTATTAAAATTGCTGTAGACATTGAAAGTGTCCAAACGTGATAACGAATAAATGACCAATGTGTAATAAGAGAGCAATAAAATGCATCGTACTTATAATTACATAAAATTTTGAAGACAGTATTTTCTGTAAGAATAATTTTTTTAAGATAAGTCGTATTATTTAAATTTAATCAGAAAAAAACGGTAGATCAGAGACAATTGCCCAGGCCCGTACTTACTTTTCGACAGCACTCGTTATTATTCGTACGAGAGACTTCTCCACGCATGAGTTGGAATTGGATTCGATTCAGAATACAACGATCGGAAACGCTTAGTTAATCCACGAATGACACGTGTAGTCCTGTTCGTTCGCGCACGTTACCATTCCATCGCGACATAATGCACAATATCATCAACCGCACGCATCGACGAACCCTCTTACGCTGTACCTCAACGTAGAATTAAGTCCTTAGTTTAACGCATTCAGGGATGGTCGTGATAAAGCTGAAGCTGCGTCACTTCCGAATGCGTTAAATTTGTAAGATACATCCATACCTACCATAGAATGGCTGAATCTTATTTTGTTCTCAAACGGTATGCTTGGGAAACGACAATAAAGTGCATTTAATTTCATCGCTATAATGGTCGTTCTTTCTTTTTTTCTTTCTTACTGAATTTAGAGCTATCGGTGAAATTTATGAAAATCCTGAAACAAAGTTTTGTCATTTTTCAACAAGCGTGTAAACAATTTTTTTCTTTGCCTAATACTATGTACATATATAATAATTATAAGATATCAAATGTACTAAATCAGTGACAGAAAGAATTAAAAGAGATTCATGCAATGAAAATACTTATAATAATAATACCTTATTTTATGATAAGAATGAAAAATAATGCAATAAAGTTTTACCCAATATTTGTGATATGTTTAAACATACACTGAAGGAATAAAATTTTATTGTCTGTTTAAATTTAGGTAAATTCTATCTTCTCATATGTTAAGTTTACAAATATTTTGATATTAAAGAGTTGCAATTTTTTTAATATTTTAATAACTTTGGCCCATCTCCTTCCTTGGAAAATTTAATTATGCAGAGTCTACTAAGACAATTTAATATTGTTAATATTTTAAATTATAATAAAAATTAAGAGTAAGTGACTTGAAGGCATTCTATTAATCCTTCAAAACATTGCCTTTCAAAATGCATCATTAAAAATACAATTAGAATGTATAAATTTTATTTACATAATATATTTATTACAACGTGCTACACATGAAAGTAATTTACATTGCTTCTAAGCATTTTTTATATCTGCTTATTACTGTACGTGAAAGCAGTGCATTACAAAATGAAATGTAACAAAACAATTTTACGACGCAATCATTTTCTCAGTTTGAATTGCGATCTGATTTGCAATGCACTTTTTTTCATGAATTAATACAATTTTGAAGAATGTAAAACAGAAAACTTATACAAATTGTAATTGCAATGAAAATAATGAAAAGGAAAGTAAGTAGACAAATGTGCAATATTATTATTATTATGATATTTAATAATATTTAATTTTATATTTTATGATTGTTTTCATTTTTTAAGTGTTTTATATTTTATATATTATACAATTTTATATAAACAATAATGAAGGGTCCCTAAGATACCTTATTTTTCACACTACTGCGATGACGTAATTTTCGTCATACATACATATATTTCGTCATGCGCGCACAGGATTCCATTGTCGTCAGTCGTCAGTAGTTAGTTTCGCATGCGCTGTCCAATTGTCACGTTCTGATCTGTTATGTTTTGATCATTCGCGTGTGGAGAAATAGTCATCTTACTGTTGCATCATGTGAGTAAATCATGAGAATTTTTGCAACATCTCGTCGCACGAACTCTTCCGTCTTTCGATCCCTCAAAATTTTATCGTGAAACATTTCCATGTAAACGAATCCAACGTTATTAACAATATTTGTTGTGTAATAATACGCAATATATACGTTTCTATTTCGTTCACAGAACTTTCAAATTACAAGCGGACGAAAATTAAAGGAGCAGTATGTTGTTAGCAGCAAGAATCTGCCGAGCCGGTATTTCACCAGGCTTGGCGTCGCACGTCAGAACTCCGACTGTCACGAAGACACCGCAGTTGTCCAAGGGTCAAATCGCGAGATTGTTCAGCGATGGACGTGGCTCTTACACGAGAACTGCGAAGAGGCAAGCCACCATGAGGCAGCAAGCAATGGCTCCAGCCGGTGAAACCGGTAAGCCGAATTGCATGTCTTGTTATATGTACAGAGGTTAAATAAGTAATCAAAAACATACGTACATAACCTTCTATGTCCTGTTTATATAATTTATAATTATATTCTTCTAACAGCGTTTAACATTGGAAAAGGAGCCGTTGCTGGTGGAGCAGTAATGGGATTAGGTGCTCTTTGTTATTATGGATTAGGTCTTTCTTCGCAAATAGGCGCCATAGATCGTGCAGGGTATGCAACATGTTGATATTAAGATGTTTCTTGTTCTGTAATGTGCCATTTTTTATGAATATAAAAAGTTTAACATTAGAGTACTCTTAATTTTTTGTGTGCGCAATTTTTAACGTTTTTTGTGAGTTAAAATTTAATATTCAGCTAATGCGACAATCCAGTACAAAGTAAATTAATATCTAAAATTTCTTTTTTATGAAACTTATGGCTTTTATATCCAAGTGCATCTATCTACATATCTAGCATGTAATTGTGAAGTAAACTAAAACTTGGAATGACTTTCTTTTTGCAGCTTATGGCCCCAGTATGTGAGGGATAGAATAAAGTCCACTTACATGTACTTTGGCACATCCATCGCAGCTAGTGCAGCATCTGCGGCATTATGTCTGCGTTCTCCTGCCGTAATGAACATGGTGATGCGTCAGGGATGGATTGCTCTGGGTGTCTCATTGGCTGCTATGATTGGCAGCGGCATGCTTGTGCAGGGCCTTCCTTACAAAGAAGGATTCGGTGCTAAGCAAGTAGCTTGGCTAGTGCACACTGGCATCGTGGGTGCAGTTTTGGCTCCACTGTCTCTCGTAGGTGGACTGTTGGTTGTTCGGGCAGCTTGGTATACCGCCGGAATCGTCGGTGGCTTGTCAGCAGTCGCCGTTTGCGCGCCCAGTGACAAGTTCCTGGCGATGGGCGGTCCACTCGCTATCGGTTTAGGTGTGGTGTTCGCCAGCTCGTTGGGCTCCATGTTCCTTCCACCCACGAGCGTCCTCGGATCAGGATTGTACTCTGTGGCACTTTATGGAGGCCTTCTGTTGTTTTCCGGATTCCTACTTTACGATACGCAGAGGATCATAAAACATGCAGAGTCTCATCCGATGTACAACGCTTACAATATGCCATACGATCCGATTAATAAGTAAGTTATTAATTTTTTTTCCACAAAATTATATGTTGGCAAAAATGTCTTGCAAGAAAATAGAATAATGTGATCTTTTATCATTTGAAATTTTTCCTTTTTCAAAGTTAGATCTGTCTCTTTTTTGGTAATTGTTTAATTTTCAATTTTATAAAACATCTACGAAATGTTATTATACAAAATATATGTTTAAATAGCAACTCATTAAAAATATTAATGAACGTTTTTATTTTTACAGCGCAATCTCGATTTACTTGGACACAATTAACATCTTCGTGCGAGTTCTAACCATTCTGGCTGGTGGTGGTAATAGGCGTAAATAAAGAAGTAGAATGCAGCTGCTAATGTGATATTAAAATTATTAAAGCGACATTACACACATATTATGAGACATACAATATAATTAGTCACAATACATCCAATGAAGAATAAATTATAATAAATTGTAACATACAGATTTAAATTAAGGTAAATAAATTTCAATATTTCAAATATACTGCGCTTATATACTTATATGAGATATATATACTTATACTTAGAAATCCTATTTTAGGAGAAAATTTATTACACAACATGCTGTAATATCATAGCCGATTATTGCAACTGTATGACTTGCCAAAAACTGGTGCACGATATTAAAAATACTTAAAAATGTTTTCATATATTTAGATTATTATACTTGTGTGTGTGTACATCTCGTTCCTATATTTATCTACATAAAACATACAAATAGCGCTTATAATTAACTTGATTATTTGATTTTTCGTTAAAATATTTCAACGAACATATTTGCGATTAACGCTAAATGCTTAACCGTATGGCTGTATTACATTAATGTAATGCAAAGTAGATCAACATAAATTGTATTTAACATCAAATTAATATTATCTAAATATGAAATTGCATTAGAGTTTATTAGTCCTCTGTTATTAATTTATTCATGGCGACAGGCAAACATATTACGAGCCTTTTAAGGTGTCGGCCGTCGACTCCCGTCGCGACGGGTCGTCCCAAATCAAGATCGACCATCGAACTGACAATTAGCGGTTCTCTCTTTGCGAAATCACGTCACGAAGCGGGGGAAGAGGATAAAGCGAGTCAGCAACCCCCGCGGCGAAGACAGATTTGCGCTTGCGTCTATCTCTTTGTCGCTAAGGGTGAAACTGACTGGCGCGACGAAGGGGACGAGCGACGGGGAGCGAAAGAGAGAGAAACGGAGGCGGGGGCGTACGTTGAAACGAGAGAATGAGTATCGGTCGGATGGAAAGAGAGAGAGAGAGAGAGAGAAAATAGAAAGAGACGGGCATTGAACGCCGACACGGCGGCCTCGCAGTCTCCTCTCGTTCGCGCCGCGCACGAAAACCCGTCGCTACGCTTCCTTTTGCATTTTCGCGAGCGAGTCATAGCGTCCGACCGCTTCCGCGCTCGCTCGCCGAGTGCATTTCCGAGTATTGCACTTAGTGCAACGTTCTCGGCGGTGCGCCGTGGCGGATGCGAGGCACCTGAGGCAACGACACCCGACATCGAAGAGATTCACCTGCGGCCTGTGAGAGGAAAACCGACAGCTATCTGCAGATTCGAGAATGTAAGTGACACCGCTCGAGCACGCGAACGCTATGCCTATATAGGTGCACGATTACCTATGATTGCGTCAGTGTGATGCGTGGGTGGAGATACGTTACGCATCTTATGGGTTATTTTTCAAAAACTTGTGGGGTGGAAATTGTGAATCACGAGAAGTCCCGTTTATAGAACGTTCCCGTTAATTCTTAGTATAGTAGAGTAATTTGTTTAAACTTATATATCTGGTTGATCGATCGAAATACTAATTAGTATTGACGCGCATAAAATTCTCGCTCTCTCCCTCCCTTTTTTCTCGCCCACTCTCTCTCTCTCTCTCTCTCTCTCTTATGCCTGAAACGATAGATTTCTACAATTATAATTTTAAAATAGAATTTTGTCGCTATGCCATTGTTTAATCATTATTAGTATTGTAGGAAAATTTATATGACAATAACGATTAATAACGTATTTTAAAGTATTACTGCACGGTATTAGAGTTTCTGAAAATATATGAGATAATGTTACTTAGCAATTATTACGTTTTTGCAACTAGAATATATTCAACTAAGAAGGAATTTGATTTTTTAAATTAATGAATTATTCAAGAATGCACTTTAATACTTTTATAAAATATTTTGAAATGTTAAAGATGAACGTGCTGCAATTAGCTTAATGCACTCTAGCTTAAGTAAAAAGATTAAGTAGTTTATCTAATTAAGATTATTATAAAATAAACATTATTTTAATCTTCTTATACATATATATATATGTATACTTGGCGCGAGACACGACCGTCTCTCAGTATTTTGAAATCTTATTGCATCGTTTTAAATATTAAAAAATTTAAATTACTCGATTCTTTGAATTATAAATTTTTTTTCTAAACTTTTCCGTTGAAACTAAATAATTCTTGACGTTGATTATAACGGATGACAGAAAATAGCAGTATATTCTATCGGTTGCGTGCGCATATTCCTCGTGCGATCGTTTCGTGAGCAGCCACGCGAGTCTCGAGGCGAAACGCACGGAGCGCAGCGATGCATGCAGCAAGATGCGTCTCGTTAACGGCAAGGCTGGAGGCAATATGTGGTTTCGCACGAATAAAATTTGCGGTCGTCGACGTTCTTTCGAGCGTCGAGACAGAAAGAGTGGCGCCGCGCGACACGACGCGGTGGGTCGATCGATCGACGCATGACGCCAGTAACGCACTGCCAGGAAAATGATCAATTTGAACTGACATAAATTCTAAATTAAAACTTTCAAAAATATAAATTAAAACTGACAAAAATATTAATAAAAACGCTCTACGATATAAAGCTGAAAAATTTCTAATATAAACTTTCTCATTTGGAATCTATAACAATTTTCAGAGTGAACAAAGTCCTAAAAAGTTTTGCAAAAAGTAAATTAAATTTTAGATTATAAAAATTCTTAATGAAATAACTTTTCAAATCTCAAATTTTTTAATTTAAAGTTTAGAGACTTATAAAATAAATGTTGACTTTTCTAAGTGTAAGATCTTTTTACACTATTAGAATGAATTAAATGTTTCAGATACATAGTGTTGATAATTTATTAAAAAACATATTACGATAGATGTTTCAATAAATTTGAAATTTTGACAAACATTTTTAAAGAAAATTAATTGCTGTATTATTAAAGTCGATATAATTATATCCACATTCATCGTACATAAAAATTCTTAGAAAGTTCTTTTTATTCAAATCACAAATCATATTTGGCGAAAAGCCAAAATATGCTTCTCAATAATTTCACGTTACGTACGTGAATACATGCGGAAGAATAGTGCATGTCGTGTAAGAAGAGTCGAGGGGTTGAAAAGCAAGATGAGGGTGGCTTAAGGGGTTGCCTCGGGACTGCCTAAGGGTTGTCGCGCACGTGCAAGACGGAGATGACACTACATAGACGACAGTACCGGCTTCAGGGGGTAACAAAAGACTGATTGCATTATTCATAGGCACAAAAGACATTTTTTCCATAACTTACATATCTCGTGTTCTAATGAAAAAAATTCTAATAGCGAATTCCGTATGAAAATTAATATAATCGTTCAATTGCAAGTTTTGGATGCGGCGTCTAATTGTGAGGATCTTTAATATTAAAAATCAAAAACATAAATTTAGTTTTCCGACAAATTTAGATAAATAATATAATTTTGCACCTATCAGCAAATTAAACATTTATATTAAACATTATAATTACGTAGAATTTTAATAACTACTTAGAATTCTAATAAAAATCTAATTGAAATTAGATATAAAACGTGCTTTGATGTCTTTCAAGCGTAATGTATCTTGATTTTTAAACTTTTTTTTAAATTTAAAATAGCCACTGTAAAAAGGACATTTATTATTCAAACTCGATTATAATAAGGATGAGAGGAGAGAGCGGGAACTTTTCTTCAGGATACTCGATTGTGTAAAATCGTCCCTGACGTATTGCGGGGGTGGGGGTGGGCGAACACGTAGAGAAAGAGAGAGGGGACAGGCTAGAGAGGGTGAAGCGAGGGTGTCGGTCGCGAGTCGATAAACCGCGGGGTTGAACGCGAGCACCCTTGCGCACGGCTTCAACATGGCGGACGGTGAGTCCCATTCCCTTTTTCCCTTGGTCGCCTAGCGAATGCCGGCCGGAGCCGGAGAGAGCGTGTCGTACGATCGATTCGCGAGTCCGCTGCTTGTTTCCGTGACTGCTCACTCGATTGGCAGCCTTTCGACGTGTCGTTCCGCGATTCCGGAACTTCTCGCGGACGATCCTCGCATTCGTTTCCGCCGCTCGAGGCCGAGGGTGGCCAGAGATCGGCGTGAAAGTGCGTTGTTCCGCCCGGAACAGTGAATTAAGCCGGTCTTCTTCGCATTCTTTTTCAGACAAGGAGCGAACATGCGACTCAGGGAATCCGTCTTGGTCTCCGTGCCGTTGCATCCCGGTAGACTGAACAACAAGTAAGTACCTCGACGAAGAAATCGGCGAGCACTCGGCAGGGGGTTAATTGGTGGCCGGATGATCACGTACGAAGATAATGATCGCTCTAATCAAATCTCGTAATCGAAGCGCTTGAAAGCGAACGCGAAATATATTGGAGTTTACGGAAAGCTGCGCCACCACTTTGTTTTCCCAGATTACGTAATGCGTTTTAGATGTCAGTGATCATTTTTTTTACATCGGTTCTTTTTTATCAGTTAAGTTTATTTAAGCTCATATTTTGTGTACACATAATCTACAACTTTCAACATTAACGTTGAGTGCTGTTTTATTCAACATTATTATATCATCTATTCTTCGTTTAGCTCTCATGCGATGATTAAAGATAATCTTCTTTTATCCTACAAAATCGAAAAGATTAAATGTAAATTATTATAATCTTCTCTTCTAAAAGTTTGAAACAATAAGTAACTTTGCAGAAGTTACAAAGCTCAAGAGATTTAGCTGAATACAATTTTGTTCCAACTTTGAAGAAAGCTTGACATGACGTTGCACACAATTACAGTAACAGTTTTCCTTTAACAATAGAAAACTTAAAAAATATCTTACAATTAGTATTAGACGTTTTTAAAAATAATAGAATCAAATTTGAAGAATTAAATCTTCAAAAAATTTATTTAAAAATTGTTCAAACATGACAATCTTAGTAAAAAATATCTCTAGTTATTAATTTAAATGGTATTCATCAATATTTTAATTTGTAACTAATCATGTTTAATTCACCTCTTCTCGAAAGAATATTTTCATTCTAATTCGCGTCCTTCGGCTTAGCGAAACAAGCAAGTATATAACGCTACCGCGGTCATGTCGCGCACACAGAATCACCGGCTGCTTATTAATTACCGCAACCTTTTTCCGCCTGCGACAAACTCGCCTGATCATTTCTCAAGACGCGCTAAATATAAACGTCTGATCCGTGATCGCGGCGGCTGTAGGCGTGCTGCCGCCTATGCCGCCTCGGCATCGGCGGCGGCGGGCCCGAGTCGGTACACCTAACGGCAACGGTAGTATCGATCCACCTGGACTCATTTCTCGGTCTTGCACGCAGCCAGCTCCGCAGGCACGGCCCGAGCGGTCGGAACATCGGTGCCGGTGGCGAGATCGACGATCGCAACGAAAACGCGACCCGGGAGTCAGCCGCGTCCGACTATTCGCCCGACGACGAGTCGGCGGACTTCCGGCTGGCCGAGGACACCACCACGTGGTCCTCCCTAGCGATCGCCCGCGACAACGTCCAGCAGAGCAACCCGCAGCCGCAGCAGCCTGTCAACGTCAACAACAATCTCATCGAGTCGAGGATACGAAGAAACAGCTCCGTCGAGAGCCTCGCCGATTACGAAGGTGAGTCCTATACATTTTTTTATCGATTTGCAGCCAAAAAAAGATTGTTGCTTGCTCCTGACAAATTACTCTTTTTTTTTTGGTGAATATGTAGAATGCCGCGGGATTATCTTTATTTTCTTCTATTTATAATTAAATAAATAATCGATTCAATGTGACAATGTCATTCTCAATTAACGAGATATTAATCGCCACCCCTTACGCAAACATTTAGATTACGTATTTATATTTGCTTCCATCACTTGCCTAATTTGCGTAATAATTTGAATTATTGATAGGATTGTTGACACATCATTAACGTATAATTTACCTAATTAATAGCGTATATAATTTAATCGTATTAGAGAAATATGTGATAAATTCCCGATTCGTGCTATTTATTCAGGAAGGGAATTGATAGAATGTAAAGAGAATTTAAAAAGACAAGGAAAGAAGAAAGTAGTGTTAAAAGTAAGAGAACTGTATTATTAGGCATAACCGAAGAGCAATCCGCCAACATAAACAACAATCTGACCGAGCCGAGGATACAAAGGAACAGCTCCATCGAGAGCCTCGCCGATTACGAAGGTGAGCTTCCTCCTTCGTCCTGAACTATTCTCCGTACAATTTAATCGCGTTTGAAAAGAGAAGTAACAGTTTCTCAGCACGATTAAATCCGTAAAAAATTATGCGTAACAAAAGAAAAGATTGATAAAGTGCGAGGAAACGCCAGAAGGACGAAATAGCGGCACACGTCTGTGCAAAATCTTACCAAGAGTATTTCTGAATATCTCTGCGTAACGAACCGATGCGTCCGAATCATTAGATCTATTAATATCGCAAATTTCTGCGTCTAGCGAACACAATGGATTGGCCTACTTTTTTATCACGCTTCTTTCAAGTGCTATGCATTGCTGATGTTCGATATTTTATTGGAAAGCAATGGCGACTGAAGGCTTTATTGCAAAAGCACGACAGGCGCGTGTGACGAACTTCGATATTTTCCGCTGGCTGCCATTAATAACGCGCGCGTTATCCTTGACATTAACCATTATCCATAAAGTGCAGAATCGGGGTTTTTAGTTCAATCAAAGTCATTCGCAATTATATTAACACCATCATAAGAATTGCAATGCGTAATGAATATCATATCGCTTATCAAGGGTTCAAAATTATCGACTAAGCCTGAAAATCCAGTTATGAAAGCAGCGATAAAATTTTATCATTCTGTAAAAGAATCTATAAAATCAAGAACTTATTATAATATTAAATTAATATTAAAGCTTAAGCTCCTCGATGTCAGATAATATAATCTATCGCGTTAATCCGCTCCATAAAACTAAAGATCCATGCAAAGGAATGCTTATAGAGCCTGCAGCAACCAAGTCTTTGTAAGTAATCATGTATGAAATCAAAGATCTGTAAAAACCAATAATTGTATGCGTGATCATGACCTATCCAGTAATAATCAACGATATCTAACATTTCACCAATCTACCTAGCAACGAATCATTCGATCAAAAATGCAAAATTGAGAATTGTTCGAGTCAAACGCAAAAGTGAATTATCCCCGTAAACGCTAGATAGAATTATAGCATTGACGATTTCCGCGGATGGACCGCCGCGGCGATGGAACGCTCTCTATGAGCCAGTCGGCCTGATAATTACGATGAGTCACGAGTTCCAACGCGGCCACGTCCAATTATTCGGCTGATTCCAACCGATGCTGAGGCGAGCGCAACTGCGAAAATGTGTTGCAGGCCGTAATTCGCCGCAGGAGAACTCGTCGCGCGAACTCACGCCGTCCGACTGGTCCGACTGGTCCGAGGAAGGGAATCTGCCGGCGGGCTGCCGCGGCATCGTCAACCCGAACTACCCCGGCTTCCAGCATCTAGCGCCGTCCTTGCTGTCGGACACCGACCTGACCGAGGACGAGCACGACAGTTGCTCCGATTATCCGCCGCTCTACGCGCAGCACCGGGAGGCGGCCCCGTTGCCGGAGAACGACAACGAATATAACAACAACGTCGACGACAGCATCAATCATCTCTGCGGCCAGCGCAACGACCGCAAGATCTTTTACGAGAAACCGAAGTTCAATATACAGGTAATTCGCCGCTTGCATGCTTTCGCCGTATCTTTTGAAATGAAAATTAAGCGAAAGGAAGATTCGGATGAATAACAGAAATTTTTCAGACTCACACAATGTTCACTTCTTTCACTGTCGATCGGATTTTGGCCTTTTATATGACTTTTGGAGAAATTGCAAAAGCATGCTTCGAAGTAAATTTATTGAAATTATCTTTCCGCTTCTTAACGCAAGTATCTGCCAATTTTTATCGTTGAATCATGCATCCGAGAGATTGGATTAATTCGGTTTGCAGAATTCATATCGCGACAGTTCCACGAATTCGTTCTATGATGAGTAACTTACACTTGTCGCTGGCAAAACCGAGCGTCAGTCGAGTTATCAACACGCGTAAAAATAATCAAGCGTACGCTCTCGCGTGACATCATCGTGCTACTCTCGTCTCCTTTTCGCGTTCCAGACTGTGACTTCTATGTACGAGGCGGTGGTGCCGCCTTCGGAAAAGTGTATCAACTACGTGAACAGCGTGGAGGTGTCCAGGTCCGAAGAGAAGCTGTCCGAGGAGGTGAACAACATCGTTGAGGCGGAGACGCACCTGACGGTGCTGGACGAACCGGAAGAGGGCCTCGCCGACCAGGTGAACGAGCGCGCGCCCGAACTGTCGCAGGCGACTCTCAAGGACAATCGCGAAAGGGAGATACCCGTCGAAGTCGAACTGGTGGAGCTGACCACCAGTGTAAACGAGAGCCTACAGTTCCCGGAAATTGAGGAAATCCTGGATTCCGGAAAGACTAGCGAAATCGGCGAGGTGAGCTCAACGAAAGATTCTTTTTCACGATTTTTCTTCAACTGAAATTGATGAGAATTAAAATATATTAAAATTTTGCAATATAACAATGAAAAATTTTTCAATTGATATCTAAGTTTCAGTATTATTCTCTCTATCTCTGTTTAATTGTAACATCAATATTTGATCATCATAATAATACTCGATCATAAATTGAACAACCTAATATTCAATCATGATTATTAATAATGTATTAAATCCATTAATTCTTAAATCTTGCTATCGCTAACTACATTAAATATATAGTTAACTTTTAATTAACGCGCAAGATTCCTCCATTTGTCAAGCTACTTATCGCAAGATCCTTTTAGCATCGTCACGCAATTAATTTGTACGGCAATCACCATGCCAACTAATCTCACTTCCTGTCAGCGGGTGCCGCGCGCCCGTCTGATCTCTCGTGCACGGTCGATTAAACGCGAAAACAATCTCGGGATGGGTGTGCAGACGGAGGACGTCGCCGTGGAGCAAATCGACCTGATACGCGAGGCAAAGGAGTTGCCTCGTCCAGATCGATCCAAAATAGGCAACCGCCAGCCGGCGACAGCAACGTCGGCGGACGGCACGGCCGACGACGACGAGTCGGAGAGCAACAGCGACTATTCCGAGGGCTTCGCCGAGGAGCGACCGACCTACACGAAACTGGAGGAGATCGATCTGCTGTCGAGCATCGGCCGTGACATCGGCGTCGATCTCGAAAAGTACGCACAGCCGGTGCCGGACGTGGTCGCAATGGAGCCGATCGAGAGCCTACGCCAGCAGCGCTCCACTTCGGTCATCAAAGATCGCATGGAGGACACCAACAAGCTGGTGGACCGCGAACTTTCGGACGCTTCTAGCGCGGACGCGCGCAAGAAGGAGAAGATGGCCAAAAACCAGGCCAAGCGCCGGCAGCAGCAACAGCAGCAACAATCGCGGACCTCCAACTCTCAGCGACGTCACGATAAGCGCAGAACTGATATCGATAACGGATCAGGTAGATAATTCGACGCATGTTACTTTTTATCTTTTCCACCATTCTAGCCTTTAGTGTCCGACTCTATTTTGACGACAATTTTAATGTAATCTAATAATTTAAATTTCTCCAAAAACGCCAATGTTTTTTTATAATATTCCGAACTTGTTTTCCACTTTTTCGAACGGATACACTCTTCTCTAACGTAGTATAGATTGCGGCTTTACTGAAAGCAATTAACGTTCACCAGTAATTGGAAAAATAATTACTATTGCACTGTTGGACGTAATTCGAATAAATCGGTAATTATATACAGTTACGTAAGCGCCGTTTTTCTACCAGTCGTCTATAGTCCTCAAAGTTGAATCTCTCGATGATTAAATTTCGAAGCTTGTATTAAAATAAATTTATCTCGAATTTAGCGAAGTGATATAATTTTCTCGCCAATTTATAATCTTAAATCTTTCAAAAAATCACGATGTTAATTAAAATAATTCGCATTAAATTACACTATATTGATATTACGTTAGTCTAAAAAAGGATCGATAATAAAAAGTTTGCAAGACGTAGCGACGGACTCGAGACACATTTTATAACGAATGCATGTGTATCGATTGCGCATTCTGAAAAATACAGCCGAATGAGATAAACTGTACCTTTCGGCCGGCCACTCGAGATTACGTATGCATGCGATGCTCCAGCACTCCGTGCTTAGTTTCTGTTCGGCTGTTTCGGTCACGCCTTCGCCGTCGCTCTAAAGTTTTCGCGTTTGACACTCGTGTATTGTTAAAGGTGGCTTCGACGTTTACAACATCGAGACGGCAATGCCAAAAATCGACCTGGACGCAATCGAGTCGCATCTCAGAGCTGCCCGCGAGGAGGAACGTCGGGTGAGTAATTAACAATTTTCTTTGCAAGAATAATCAATGATTACTTTTTATGCAATACGCGGATTGTCGCAGCACTATAAAAACTTGATTGCACTTAACATTAAACAGTAAATTGCTTCTTTCGTCTGTAAAGTGTGTTATAAACCGTTGTAATTTGCATATTAAAACATGTATTTTTCGTAATCTCGTAAAATCCAACTCTATGTATATTTGTCCATTAATTTATTCTTCGATATACGATGAAATTCTCTAGTGATTTTCAATATTACTGTCTCAAACAGAAATAAGTTCTTAAATTAACTCGAGCTCTCACGGGTCAATGAATCTTGGGTTCATTCACATTTATTCAATTGAACGCATTCAAATATTCCTATGAGTTATCATTCTGCCGACTGTTGAATATATTTGACAAAGAGAGAGAAACAGGAACAGAGAGAATGCCAGTTCTGCGTGTCTAAGATTTCGCGTTTGCATTGAATGCACTTTGCGGGGGCATCTGTGTAGGCGGATGTGTATGTAGGTCTTCGTTGATACGGGAACTTCAAACAGACACGTAACACAAATATGTATAGAACACATTTTGAGCCTAGGATTTCCCAGAGATTCCAAGTTTAGCGGAACTTAGCCAACCGTCATGACGTCAATAATAAAAGATAATCAAGAATAAAAAATTTCTGATTATTAAATCAACGGCACTGAAGTTTTATATCATGCTGATAAACCCTGACACATTTACTGATTCAAAGTAACGAAATGCAGAGAGCGATAAAATATAATAACCAAGTTGCGTGCACTCGGAAATATTGATTCTTTAATAACTGCGAATATAAATTGGAATCTTTTCCGAAACGCTCCGTCGTTATTTTTCACGTGACGACAAATTTCGACTCTTGCCACTCTAAAATCGAGAGAATTGTGCAGCATCGTACTTCAAATGTTGAATTGCACGTGGGTCAGAAGTCGCGCATGATCAATCAACCGAAACGTTTTACGCACCCTACAAAGATGATTTAACGATCTTTTGTTACAACGATACGGCCGACGTTGCAACTTGCATTAAATTCGAAGCGCTTCTACATGCGACATTATTTATTTCAGACTTTCCAGCTAATAATATGATTCTGGAAAAATTCAATGCACAACTTTCTACTTTGTATGTCTAATTGCTGAATAGCGAAATAATCGTAATTGCACAATTATCCACACTATAAGAAGAAGAAAATGCATGAGGACAGTGCAAAGCAATGAAGATTCTTGAAAATATTAGAAATGCGGTGTACATAAAAGCGGAAAGTTCTATGAACCAATTTTTCTTCTTTTTATATAGATTAAAAATATTATTTTCGCGCTTTTTTCAAATACAATGCATCGCAATGAGCAATTAATCCAACTTAATAAATCGATATTTAAGATCCTTATTCAAATAATAATTTTGTCGCATTTTTAATGCTTGACATTTTGTATAAAAAAAATTTGACTGGTGGAACTTGCGCTTTACAGATTTTCACGGTTCGTAAGCATCTTTCAAGTAAAAGTGCGTTTTCAGTCTTATGCGTATCCTAGCGTTCAGCTTGCCGGTTATCAAGTTACCAAGTTATCAAGTTACACGATGTACACGATGGAAGACAACGGCACATAATGCGATACAATGTATTGTAATACAAATCGGCATGCAATGCAAAACCCCGAGATAACAATGTTCGCGTGTCAACTTTCTCACATGCGAAAATTTGACTCCCAAATGAACGTCCATCGATCGAGCGGATTTCACCGGATTGCAAGAATGTATTTCACTGTCAGGCCATTCATTCCGAAGCCATCGGCCGACCGCGGCGTCGAATTTTCCACCCGTTTTCAGACGAAGCGAGTTTGCACGGACGTGAACTCGGAAATGCGATCGGCACACGCGCGAGCCAACACACTCTTATCCGGCACTTTCACCGAGAATCGCCATGAGAAGTCTTCCTAGGTGCTTAGGCCACCTCCATGACCGCCGCCACCACCACTGCCTCATTCAGCACCTCCTTCGCGGCCAGCAAACCTTAACGAAGGATCTCGCTCGACTCGCCTTGCAGTCTCGTGCCGTCTCCGTTTCGCGCGCGCGTAAGTTTCGTCTTCAGGGTCAACTGCGCCTCGACTACAGCCTTGGCCCGATCGAGTTCCGATCGACAGCGCTCTTTCTAGATCGCGGCTTTGCTCACGCGATAGTGAGAAAGAAAGCGAGTTCGGGAAGCAAGTGGAAAAAAAAGGCGGACAATATAAATTTGAAGGAACGCGAGTCTAAACAAACAAGTATCGTGGAAATGCAGCTAAGTTTGTGAGAGGAAAAATTTCACTCATCGACATACCGGTCGGATAGCTTTTCTACGAGATAAAAACAGACAAGAAAGTGCGCAAGGGTGCGCGAACATGGGCAGTAGCACTAAATCGCGCAAACACTACAAAAAGGACTCGAGATTCGTCGCGGATCTCTACACGTTCACTTACGACGACTTCGATCTTGTAAGGGGCGCGCTCGGCGAAGGGCGAAGGGCGACAGTGTACCGTTTCGCGGATCGTAAATCCGATAATAGCTTGGACGGTGAACTATAAATGCGAGAATAAATTGGTGCACTGAAACCAAATTTGTTCAATAACTCGTGTATCTGATATATTCACTACACTTTTTTTTTCTACTTCAAAGATTGATTGTTTCCGTTCTCGAATACTAAAATATTCGCTGTGTTTTTTCATGAAGCTATTTCGCGACTTGGTATGTCGCCTATTTTCTCGAAACTGATGTGATATTCTTTAAATATGAGAGAAGGAATAGCAGAGTTACGTTTTTACACATTTTTTAAATATAATCTTATTTATTTCTTACTTAACAGATAAAACTATAATTAATGATTTAGTTTATAAAAGGAATATTTAAGTATTTGATTCAAAGAAAAATAAATTTGCTGATAATTTTTTAAAAAATTTTGAGGACCAAGAAACTTTATCTAATAATTTCAAAAAACAGTTGATGTAAGAACAAATAATTTATCAATTTAATTTTCTAAAGATTTCTCTCTCTTTTTCTCTTTCAAAATAATCTAAACAAAATACATTGCAGCTACTAAAAAATTATCGTGTCGACATTCTTTTATACCTTGCTGACTAACTTTAGCTCTTATCAATGTTTTTTTGCGCTCGTTGCGCAGCAATGAGCATTTATTGCGGCACGTTCAATTCCGACATTCTAAAAAGCGGAAATGTTACCACAAATGTTCTAACGCAAGACATAGTGATTCGAGGTGTTCTTTTAATCAAACAGTAATGTTTCAGCATAAAATTTTAACACACTTTTATGGTCAAATAAGATGTCAAAATTCTATTTACGAATTCTTATTTCTTTTAAAATTCCATTTAAAATTCAGGTCAGAACTCACCGTTTCTTTCACCGAATTTCGTACGTGTTTCGTTTGCACGTGACGGTGCACACGTGCGGAGAACGATCATATTATTACGTTTGGTATCAAGTTCATCGGATACGCCAGATTCAATAATTCGCATGATCTTGCTCTAGATTTCTGCTCGTGTTGTCGTTTTGACAGGAAGGTCGATGAATCTCACAATTCGGTACGGTTTCGGCGTGAAAGTGGGTCACGGAAATCGCGGTAATGAACAAATAGATTTTAGCATATGCATGGAAGTAGGTTTCCTTACCGCAGGAATTCTATCTCTGCCAATCTGTAATTAAACTCAGGTTTTACCGAATATTTCAAGCACACTTTGTACAGTTTCTAAGTCTGGCGCAACCGAACCGGATTTATAAATTAAAATTACATCGTTAAGATATAGATAAAAATAATTTTTATATTGTTTTGGTGAAATCAGAAAAACTATTTATTACATGGAGAAAATTTTATATAAAAAATTACGCGGACCGAAAATTTTCACTATGTTTCACATGTGAAAAACATAGATAAAAATTTTATAATTTTTTTCATAGTCCGCAGCCGTGCATAGTAATTTTTGATATAAAATTCAAATTTTATGCTTGGAATTTTTAAAAGATATAAAAAGATTTGAAAGATGCTTCTGTAATAATTATCGTAACACATGTGCAATCTGTATCGTTTGTTGTGGGAATCTGTCGCCCTTCGTAAGAGTGTAAAAAAAGTATCGCTAATACCCTGCCGTATGTATTAAGTTATGAAAGTGGAAAGTGTTAATTTGTGTGGCGTCAGGATGACGACAAAGAAGTCACCGCGGAAATGGATAAGCCGCAGGAACCTATTGTGGCAGCCGAGAAACCGAAAGAAACTAAGGAGAGCGAAAGGGAAGATCTCATCACGCGATTCGATAGGGTCATACGAGGCGAACTTGATAGCAATTCGCAGGTATCCGCGAGTGAATTCGATAAAATTGCGAGAGAGATGAATATGTGTCTGAATAAGCGCAAGAAACATGCGCTCAATATCGAAAAACATCAAAGTTTATGATATAGTTTTATTTATTCATACTTATGCTGATTACTTGTAATACAGGATTGGATGCTTAAATTTTAGATTCGGATGTCCGAATACAGAAATGTTTTACATTCTTAAGCTGTAGATCTGAACTTTAGATTTTATGATACTCGGATATTCATTCATCGATTAAAAAATCGAGATCCAAAATAGAAGACGTAAGGTTTCTTATTTTTAAATACGCATTATGGCAAATCATTGATTTTCTGGACAAATATCCATAAGTTTTTATCACGTATAATTTCTGAATATTTCCATATATAATTTCCATTAATTACCTCTGCATATAAGCAATATATCTAACATACCATATCCGTACTTCCTTGTCCACAGCGACGAAACGATCGCGAAGAAATCAGAAGGAGGCTCGCGATGGGGCCCGACGCTGAAGATCTGCGCGCAGAACGTGGGCGAAAGCCGAGTCTTCAATCCCGTCTTCAGAGCGGTTCGTGTAGAATCTTATTTCTCTATAAGAACATATCATAAATGCAATGCAAATATAAATAATTAACAAAAAAAAAAAATGCCGAATCATGAATACATAAATTAACATGCATGGAAATTTTACTTTCACTCATCTTTATTCACACACACTTAATATCGTGTATTATATTTAATATTTCTCTTTAATTTATTTTAATTAAAAATAATTAATTAAAATACTTTACAGTCAAATAATCGTCGATTGAATTTTTTTACGCGTTTTTAAAAGATGCTAGATGAATTACTAAAGAACAGACTTATCTTGTGCAGGAATGAATCTCCAAATTTGCTTCATGAACGAGACATCATCAGACACCGAGTCTCCGGGATCGGAGAATGACGTGTCCCCAGGATCCACGCCCACGTCCCTCGGTACGAAGCAACTTGGCGGAAAACAGCAGGCGCCGATGAGGCCGCAGGTGCTGAGTCTTCCGTCTCTGAGACTCGAGGGCGCGAATTCCACGCCGCCGGTCGACGAGGCGGACTTTTTCGCGCGGCAAGCCAGACTGCAGACCGAAGCGCGAATGGCTCTGGCTCAGGCCAAGGAAATGGCACACATGCAAATGGAAGTGGAGAGGCAGAGGCTGAAGCAAAGCCCCATCACCGAGATGGTGCGGTGCAGCTTGGAAAAAGTTAGTAGGATTCTAAATCATTAATAACGACGAAGACAATTCCATTTTCCAGATGAAAGAAAAGATGAGCACCCGGAGACCTCGATAAATAAATTTCTCATCATTCAATTCATCTCGCGCATTCTTGAACAATTCATAAGGCTTTTTACCTTGTAATTGTTTCAAATTGCTCAAAACATCTACGGCATCTTTGACTGATAAAAGAAATAAAATACGCAGCTTTTGTCTAAATTACAAAAAGGCGAGTTCCGCCTGAAATTTTTAACCTTTGTTTAACAAACTCTTTATCCCGCATTTTTTCGCAGGTCGGTGTTCAACTGGGAGAAGACAGACGTAGATTGTCCAGAGTGCTTCTCACAGAGCTGAATGTTGCACAGTTGCAAGTAGTAGCGAACGACTTGCACGCAAGAATCGCCGCCCTGAACGAGGCGCTCGTTGAAGGACTTTTGAGGAGAGACGATTTGCACATGGAGCAAGATTCAATGCTCGTCGACGTGGAGGATCTCACTCGATACTTGTGAGCTTCTTTAACATATCTATATTCATAAAACAAAAGATATTTTACTTCATAGAAACAATGCAAATATGAAGATATTTAATTTATTTACATATTTAAAAACAAATATTTACAATTAAATTACTAGAAACTGTTTCGTTTTACAAAATGTTTTTTAATTTAAAAAACTCTTGCCGCAAATTAATAATATCGAAATATGGCGATTGAAGAAAAATATTAAAAGTATTCAATTTGTGCAGAGGTGCCAAGCAAGAGACATTGAAGAAGAAACAGCAAAGCATGCAGCAGGCGGCAAATCGAAACCATCAGCAATCATCTCCAGCTCCGACGAAGTTGTCGATGAAACCGAAACTGACGCACCTCAATCGCGGTCTCGTCGCTCTTGTAAGGAAATAATCCTTCGCCACGAGACTACGCAGTCTCGTCGGAAATTGAACTCCGAGCGGAGCGGAACACCACGGATAATTTTAGAAATGTGAGAAAACAAGAAAAAAAAGGAGGAAGAAGAAACTTTCTTTGAAAAAAAAAGACGAGAAAATCTTTTTGAGGAAAAAAATGGAAGAGGAGAGATGAAGAAACTTTCTTCGACAGTTGGAAATCTTTAACAAGGAAAAAGGATGAAGAAAGCTTCTTCGAGCGGAAAGACGAACGATCTTTCATTTGATTTCAAGAAGGATGATGGAGGAATCTTCCTTCGAAGAAAACACAGTCGGGAACGGAAGAATGATTGCGTTGGAGGCCGTGGTGTGAGTGCTCGAGAACTCTCTGAAAAACGTTGTAGCGATCAGCTTTGACAACGGTGGAGTCGTTTCTCACCGTTTCTCCGATAAAGGGAAAGCTAGATCTCTTTCCCCTGTGGAATTTCCAAGTGTTTTTACAGCTTCGTCGTTAACCACGTGGAAGTAGAGATTTGCGTATTGTACGTATTACGTAAGCGAGCAAAGCAAACGACCCTTCGTTTATATCCCACATGGAGATTCCCCGACTCTTTTTATCCTCTTTCTCGTCTATACTCGCTCTGCCCCTAAAGCTCAGATTATGTCCCGCGACATGCATGCATGTGTCCACGAGTGTATCGATTATTCGCCTTTAAATAATAGCGTATCGTTAGCGAGAAACGGAAACTCTTCTCTCTCTCCGTTGTACATATAGCGAAAAGATTTATATCAGATATTATTGCCGTATCGAGATTCCACATGGTATTTAAAGAGCGCTTCGTTCCGATCGTTCGGTTTAAGTCGTTCACGCGTGCGTCGACGTGACCTTGTAAAATCGTGTCAATTTTATTGTGTGTAGAATTATTCAAGAATCCCCCCCCCCCCTCTTCGACAACAGGACTCGGAGAGATCCTTACGGATTCACGATTTCAATAGTTTCGCAAGTGTTCGGACGTGTATATTCTCGCTTCGGTAGATCTCTAGATCCGCCAATGGAAATCCGTCAGTTTTTGTTTCCGCAAATTCGTGACGTATAAATCCCACAAGTCGTTCACCTGGCTCGGATATTAGTGAAGCGGTAAACCAGTCTTACCTATCGCGCGAGCGACGAAGAAAGTCGGTGCACACTTTCTTGAATAGCGCAACGCACGCGGGGGGAAAGGGGGAGAGGAAGGTGAAGCCTCAACGGAGGCGAGCAGTGCAATGACCGTGGAGAACGAAGAACGCCGTAACATATCCAAATAAGTGATTTAGTATGCAAAAAGCGATTAGTCCATATATAGAACAAGATATGAAGACTTAATCGAATAGGAAATATTTCATGAGCGCGCCGCGCTCACGGAGTTTACTTATTACAGCGTTATACAGAGAGCAGCTTGGAATTCGGAAGCAAAATTATTCACCGATATGGATTATTCGGTTCTTGCATTGTGTTGTTTCGCATGCCCGTTTCACGTGATCTCATTCACACGCAGAATTTCAAATGTAACCGAAATAAAATTTCAACGACTCTAAAGCTGTGGTTATCTTGATTTCTCAGATCCCTGGCTTGTTCCCGATTCAAATAAAAAGACTGGCTCAAAATAGACTTCTTAACGACTATTCGTACGTTAAATTGTACGCGCCAAAATCGCAATAGTCCCAAAATGGGTTCTAAATCTCTGATCGAGATTTTCAGACAAGTCTGAAATAATGATTTTAAAAAAATCTATTACCAGTCGCGAGCGAATCTGTGATTCTTGCGTGTGTCATGAGAAAACGAAAATCTTTCTGCTAAAAATTTTCGCAACAAATAAATTCAAATATATTCATTTCCCAAGATTTTTTTTTTTCATTTTCTTAAGAGACAGTTTCATTAACAAGGAAAATAACGCGTTTGCTTTGTCTTAATTACGTATTTAAGACACTTCAGACTTAACTTTTGATTATGACAATGTTACATTGTAAGATTATCGATGGAATCGTATAAAGTTGATTAATTCGATGAGACGAGTTCTATTCGTCCGCGACTAATCGCGAACGGGACAGCTTCTGAGCCACCAATCGCAGTCCGATCAAAGTACGTAAAAAAACATGCTACGAAAAAATCGCTTCAAAACGCGATCACCATGAGAGATCGAAGCCGCGCAATCAGTGATCATAAAAACAACATCAAAGAGAGCTGCATATTATCTACAAAATACTTTTAATCGTAATATTAATTAATAATATACAGATTGTAAATAACTAAATAATAATAAAATATGCTGTAACAAGTTCTTCCTCTTCTCCTTCTTCTCTCTTTCTCTCTCTTTTCATTCACTCTCTTTCATTCATTCTCTCTCTCTCTCTCTCTCTCTGTCATTCATGCTCCATCCATGCTCCCTCTCACCCTCTCATCCTCTTTCACTCTCACGCTTTCTCATTTGTCAATTTTTCTTCCATTTCCGCTTTTACGGAGGATCGAAATAGCGAAGAAGGCACGGGGCAGTATATCAGATGGTGTTTCTTTTCCTTCTCAGTATGCACCTTACTCTCTCACATGTTTAACTCCAATTATCATCACAATGATGAGAAGCATGTCGACAGCTTCTCGTCCACTCTCACCGTTTCGCCAAACCAAAAAAAAAATGGATGGGAGGGGAGCACCATTTGAGGGACGTCTCGCTAAGTTCTCGGAGCCAATTGTACTGACTTCAGTTAACCAACATTCGTTAGCCAATCTCCGTTCCCCGTCCAACTCTAGTTATAATGCAATAAAAGTTAACTGGCCAATTTGCCGTAATAAATGTTGATACAACGTTTAACTCCAGTGTTTAAACTTAATTTTGATCATCGATTCCACTTTCTAGATTATTCCAGTCATCATCCGTGTAAATTTAAGGTAACCGAAATTTCTGCGAACCAATTCTCCGTCCTTTTTCTATATCTCGTTTTTAGAAAGAAGGTGTAAACAACGGAAAACAACTTATTTGGAGCAAAGAGAATCACATTACTGCAATTATACCGCTACGAGCTCAGTTTGTGCGGCGAGGGAACAAGTGGTTAACTACAGTTGGCTGACTGACGTCGGTGCAAAACGGCTCTCCTCGTTCCGACGAGTTCTCGGCACAGTATGCGATGTCTCGCGGAGGTATTTTGGAAAGAACACAGACGGCGATGACGCGTTAATAATATCTAACACGGTTCTAAGGTCCTTTCTTATTTTCCTGTTTCTTTTTATCGCTTCCTTCGATGCCACGAATGGCCAAGCCGTATGGCACCATGACGAAGCTTTTAAGCCTCTCAATTATGCGTAATTTTCTTTTTTCAGTTCGTCTTCCCGGTTTTCTAGTTTCTTCCTTCTCTATGCCTTTCTCTCTGTCTCTGTCGAGATACAGTGGACGTCTCGTTTTAACTGCTGTATCATCATAATAAAAATTCTTAACTTACAACCGTAATCATTATCTCTATTATACAAGTTGGCATTCACCGTTGTGTACTCGCATTACTTTTTACACGCGCCCCATGCTGGTCAACTTCGCAATATTGTTTCTTTCTCGTAATGTCTTGCGAAATTGACCTACTTGCTGGATTTTGATAAAAAATGTTGGTCTTCGAGCGCGCTTTAGTTATATTTACATTTCCTTTCGAGACCTCGCCGCCCAAAAGATGCCTCAACTATCAAATATTAAATAAATCCTCGCTAAGTTATGTTAAAAGCAGGACTCCCGCGCACCTACCTACTGACACACACGGTCTCAGAACAATTTATATATATATAAAATAATTTCCAAATACTATGTTCCTTTCCAAACTCCCGAAATTTCGGTTTAAAGCATCGAAAAAACGCCTTAAGCTAAAAATCCCCGTCACGATCGTTAATCGTTATCGAAGGCAGTAATAAATGTGCGTACAAAGTCGAATATAGTTCCAATCAGAAAAATCACTACGTAAATACAATCATCCCTGGAAAAAATGTACAGTCCGTGTCGCGAACATCACGAACATATGAAAAGAAGATCATAAACATCGTCGTTCACTATAAAAGAATTCAGCGATTCCGAGAGAAACACGACATACCTTTCCGACTCATGTGTTCCAGGAATGACAATGGCGCGCAAAGAACTCCGGACACGATGTTCTCTGTTTAAATCATCCTTCTTACACCACATCCTCTCAGTATCGCCCGGTACACGCATAGTAACCCTGTTTTCTCCAATAATTCTCGAACTTGAGTTTCATTTACTCTTAGCTGCGTAAAAGTAACATTAAGATTGCGATCGCTATGTCGATTGTTGATCTAGAAGATTATTGACAGTCTACTCCGATGGCCGGGTGCGCAGAAAAAATCACGAGGTCGTAGTATTTCGTTATGACGATTCCGACATCCTCACTGACATCGTCGTTAATGGGGGAAATGGGACAGCAAATTGTGAGCGGAGTCTTTAATTCTCATTGCTAGTTTCTTCCAAGATCACTTGCCCATACTGGCGTTTGCTGGCAATGTCGCGGATCGTTGCTGCACCGATAAGTATGGCTTTAGAGTCGACCTCGTAGATTCTCTGGAAAAAGAAATTAATAAATTGTCACAAAAATATGTCAGTTATACTACATCGTTCGATCAAAAACACACATCAAAAATCATCGCATTGTCAAAGCCGTGAATAGTCGAAAGCACGGTGATTCAATAATATGCAGATTAGAAAGTGGCACAAGTTAACATTTCTGTGATAAGCAAAAGCTGAAGTTTTGTCATACAGTATACATCTACATGTAGATATGCTACTCTCAATCGATATAAATAGCATTTTCATCACTCCACTTAATTATTTAATCCGTTTTAATTGTCGCGACATCATTATCATGCAATGTACCGATGTATATAAATATTAGATTGTTCGAAAAGATTTCTAGTCATAATTTTACACCAACATTTCACAAAAAATAATTTGTAAAATATTTTTTACTGTTTGCACACAACAATTTAACGCAATGCAATAACGCATTTCCGAGTATCAATATTTGATTAGACACATTTAAATAAACTAAATATATACTATATAGCTACATTCTTAACAATGAAAAAATAATTGTACACTGGAAAAATTAATTGCGTAATGACAAAATTTGATAATATTACACAATGCGTAATAATTGTAATACTACAGCAAATTTTCCATTACATTGAATGTACCAAGCGCGGATGCCCACCATTTCTTTTTACTTCGCGCTTATAGAAGGCAAAAATGTTGGAGGGAAGAAAATGAAAGAAAAATCAAACAAGTCTAACCTCTCTACACCTACATCATGCGACGTCACAAAATAAGAGCTACTTAGTCCCCCCGCTCGCGTCGAGCAGCAGCACAGCTACGCTACCTTGGCGAGACGCGCTGTCCTGTGCCGTCCATGTGCGAGTTAGCTTTGTAGCCGCATTTCTGGACACGCCTGGACAACCGCGAGACCCAGTACTTCTGCTCCTCTGGACTTGCTGCTAGCAGCAGAAGCTCACGGGCGCTATTCGGGTCGTAATGCAATTTGCACGGAGCTATGGCATCTTCCTTCTTATCCAAGTGTTCCTTGTGAACCTTAATGCGACATCCTGCACGATAATATAACATGCGTTTTAATATATATATATAAATAAGAAAAGCAACATATGTAAACACAAATAGGTGTAGCACATACTTCGGCATTCAAGAGCTGGCGAGGGCCGAAACATGTGCCAGAGTTGTTTCGAACAGACTTCGCAGGTCGTCGGCATGTGATAAGATATTGACACGAACTCATGGCCCTTCAACGACTGAGTGCCGGGTTTATCTGTGAGCTGTGGTAAATCCACGCCGGGCAGTGTATTGCCCTCGTCGCCGGGCCGCCTTGCTTCACCTTCACCGGCATAAAGTAACTGCACACCAAATTAATTAATGTAATACATTGATAGAAATATACAATTAATTAATTAAAGACATCAAATTACTTTCTCGAAAAGTTGTAAGCATTATTAAACTTATATAAAATAGATCAAACAAATATTGTAAAGTACAGATAAAAATTACAAATTATTGAAATGTTATAAGAATTATGTTACAAAAAAATTACCACTTAGCAATATAAAAGAGAAGTAAAAATTCGAGTTTCTGGAAATTCAGAGAGTGGAAAGACGTGACGTACCTGAAATATTCTGGGTATATCTTTGGCATTGGCTCGGATAACATCACCCTGAGTAACAGATCTAACGTGGAAGACTTTATTCAAGTCTAATATAAGTACCGGATCGGCATTCATCTTGTCATTTTCGCTATTGTAAAAGATTATCTTCTTAGATGAAACAACGACGTATTGCTTCTTCCAACCGTGCCGCTTAATGTTCTGTTTGTTTGGCACATTTAACCAGCCCTCGAGTCTCAGCGTGCCGTGCTCGGATAGAACCGAGTCCTCGCCGTCGTCGTTCTCTATGGACGAAACGCTGGCAGTTTCCGAGTTGAGCGATGCGATTTTCATTTGCAACGTTTCTATCTCGGAGTCCTTCGAGTCCATTTCCATCTGCAGTCTCAATTTCGCCTGATTCTCCTCCACGAGTTGCGCCTGAGGGAAAGAAATTATTTTTACTCAATCAAGCTCTACATGCTGTCTTAAAGTTAGCGCGAAACAAAGATACGTCGCTTACTTGTAAATCTTGCAAATCCTTTTGCCATTTAGCTGCCAATTGTCCGTATTTTTCTCTCTCTTGGGTGAGTTCTTGCTGCAGGCGTCTGCAATCTTTCTCCTTCTTTCTCAGATCTGCGGCGGACGCCTTGTTTTTATTCTTCCCACTCGACGAAAGATCCTTCCGGTTCATAATCTCGGCCAATTTGTTAACCGCCTGTTGCTTCAGCAGTTGCTCAGTCTTCAATTTGCTGCTCAGCTTTTCGATTTCCTCCACGTTGGATTGCGCTTTACCGAGCTGTTCTTGGAAGTCCATCAATCGCTTGCTCAAATCCTCCTTCTCTTTTAGAGTCTGATCGACAGTCTTCTTGAATTCGCTCTCGTTTTCCTTAAGTCTGTTTAGGATGTGCTCCTTCGAACTTAGCTCTTGCTGATGCTTGTTCACTCCATCTTTGTACTCTAACTCCTTCATCGTCCTCTCCTTTTCTAAATCTGCTATAGTCTCCTCAGCAATGGATCTGGCCAGCGCCTCGCTATCAGCGCGCGCCAAAGCTAGCTGCAACTGATGAACCAGAGAGTTACGTTCTTCCTCGAACTCCTGATGCAGCCTTATCTTCTCGTCCAGTTCTTCGCGTAATTCTTGCGTCTGTGTTTTGTAAAGAGTCTGAAAAACAAAAAGAGGGAAAAATTACGATTCTCCTTAAAATTTATCTTAATTTTTCATAAGACAACTTTAATACAACTTACCGAAAAATAAGCCTCGGCCTCCAATTGCTCCTGCAATTCCTTCGTCTGCAGCTGATCAACATTTCTTTGTGTTTTCAAGTGATGTAATTCTTCCTCTATCTGTCGCTTAGCTTCTCTCAATTGAGTAACCTCTGCGATTAGTTGCTGTTCGCGAGCGCGAAGTCTTCCCGCTTCGGATGTCTGCTGCCCTAAGTCGGTTTGCAAAACGTTCCTCTTCTGTTGCTCTTGTTCGACTTGGCCCTGCAAGACTTTGACCTTTTCCATTTCTTGTCTGTGCTCGCCTTCTAATTTCTGCAATCGTTGCTGTATCTGTCTGTAATCGACGGAGAGCATTGACGTCTGACGTTCCTTTTCCTGCGCAAGTAATTCCGCACGTTGCCTTCCGCTCTTCTCCTCGTTTAGTTTCGCTTGTAGAGCTATTTGTAGTAAATCAATATATGCGCAATATAAGTAACGATGCATTTCCCTAAGTTCATAAATAAATATTACAGTGTGTACGTACGTAAATAGATATTCCATTACAAGAACACGCAGCGATAATAGAAAAACAAGTACAAGATTAGCATGACAGAAATTCAGTTTCTAAAATATAAAGTTCGATATTTAAATATGTCAGAAAAAAAAAGCGGAAAAATTCGCGAATCACATGTATTACCTTCAAAAATTCCATTTTTTTGTCCTGCATTGCACAGACAAAATAAGACATACTTTATCAAAAATGCATTGTCTATTTATCTTTATGTGAAAACTTGATGCAAATACCTTTGACAACCTCCAGATTGGCTTCTTCGTTGGAAAGAATACGCGAACGCTCCGTTTCTTGGTGCGCCACAACCTCCTGATTGTACCTGGCTTGCGCGGCTTTCAATTCCAGCGTCAAACTAGCCGCCTCTTTCTCCAGCGCGGAAACCCTTTCGGTTAATTGTCTATTGTCCAAAGTTGCCTTCTCTTCCTTCTCGTGACTACGTTCAAGCTCAAGATGCAGGGCAGAAAGACGTGTCTCCAATTCGGCCGTCAATAATGATGCTTGCGATCTGGAACTACGTTCCTTGGAAAGTTGGCCCTGAAAAGAAAGAGATTTTAGATTTAGATTTAGTACATTTAAAACACAGTTCTTTATTCTACAAAAAATATATTTAACTAATTCATTTTTCAATTAAAAAAGAATCAAGTGATTTTATAAAGTGAGAATTATAGCAGACATTTAAACTTTTTCAAAAACTCACACGCATCCCAAAAGTCTTTTAGAAACTAGATTATACCTGCAGGGTGGCAACCTCTTGCTGCAAATTATCACGTTGTGCTTGAAGTTGAGCTCTGGCTACTTGCAACTCGTTCGCCATTTGTTCGGCAGCTTGACGCGCCACCGTGATTTCCGTCGCTTGTTTGCGCAATCTTGTCACCGCCTCCGTTTCCTTCTCCAGCTTGCACTGCATCTCTTTGATCTGTTTTTCCAACGACGTCACTCGCTCGGACGTCTGTTGCGAGTTGCTGACATCTCGCGCCCGTCTCGTCTGCTCCTCGTCGAATTTCTTCTTCACCTCCACCAGCAGCGACTCCGCTTTCCGACGAGCCTCTGTCTCGAGTTCCACTCTGCGCTGCGCTTCCTTGTAATTATGTCTAAGCAGTGTCAGCTCTTTATCCGCTCTACCGATTTCTTCACGCAGTTCGACCTCACGGCGCGTCATCGCGTCCAATTGCGTGTTCAGTGCCTTCTGCCTCGACTCCATCGTCTCCATCTGTCGCTTCTCACGATCCAATAAAATCTCCAGCTGTGAGATTCTCGCGTCATCGGTAGTGCCGTTGTTGACATGATTCTCCAGGCCGTCCACAGCCTCATTGCCATAAGCGGCCAGCAGCTGATAATCGCCCGAATAAGTGAAGCCGATAAAAGGCAAATGATTTCCGGAGAAAGCTTTCGGTACCGGGAAACTTTCCTCCGGCCCGTCCTCCTTGTCGACATCGTCAAAATTGCTGGTGTCATCGTCGCCGGAAAGCTCGGGCACTACTGGCGGCACGCATTCCCTCAGATTGTCGAAGGTCCACTGGTCATTCTTGAAAAACAAATGGCTCTTGATTTCGTCGACGCCGTTGCGGCCTAGACGCTTCGTTCTGTCAGTGAGAAAGCCGCATATCAAATTCTTCGCCGAATGGGAAATTTCAACATTTTGAGGGAAATATAGCGAGTTTCTGTGATCCATGATCTTTGAATACGTGCCGACTAAAGAATCGGCGAAAAACGGTGTGTCGCCGAACAACATCTCGTACAAGAAAACGCCCACGGACCACCAATCACATTCACGTCCGTACACTCCTTCTCCGCCTTGCGATTGCAGAACCTCCGGGGATATATAATCGGGCGTGCCGACCGCGGTATCGGAACGCACTAAGCCATCCTGTAAAACAAAGTTTCAGCATTACAAATCGACAAGTTTAAATTTAAAAAAAACTTTTCGCGATCTTCGAAGAAGACTTTTCACGTTCGGACTCTATTTAATCGCAAATTAAAGCATTTATTTTTGGTTTTAATAAATAGCAATTGCAATGTACTTTATTGAGATTTTCTGACGCAAGCTATTTTCTGTTAAAACGTTTAAAACCAAGGTTAAAAGTAATAAATTAAACTTACGGTATCCATCCTCATGCATGTGCCGAAGTCGGCGAGCTTCAAATGACCGTATTTGTCCAATAACATATTGTCAGGCTTCACGTCTCTGTGGACGAAACCCATATGGTGTATCGCGTCCAATGCGAGTACCACCTCGGCGCAATAAAATTTTGCCCATTTTTCTGGCACTTCATAGTTCGACATTAGATTCACTAAATCTCCACCCGGCATGTAATCCATCACCATGTAGAGATACTTTTGATCTTGGAACGCAAAGTGGAGCTGGACTATCCACGGAGAGTTTGCATGTGCCATTATATCCCTTTCTTCCCAAAAAAATGCAGAATCTGACCTTTTAATCTAAACAAAGTATGTAAAATCGAGTAAATAAAAATATTTGTATCGTAATTATGTGTAAAGAAACAAGCGGACAAAATTAACTCACCATTTCAAATTTACTAAGTAATTTCATAGCAAAAACTTTTTGTGTAGATTTGTGTCTAACCAACTGCACCTCTCCGAATGCGCCACGGCCGATTACTTTTATTAAAGTAAAATCGTCCGTGCGCATTCGCATTTTATGAATCTCTTGCGCTACAGAATCATCTGCAAAAACATAAACAAATATCCTGAATTCTCCTGATGTATTTATATAAAATTTAGAAAGGCGATAAACACTGATTATGTTTACGAAAAGAAAAATTCAAGCAGTACTTACATCTATTCATATAAGATTCTATATTTTTCATGCGTTTCACACTTGCATGATCACAATCTAACACCAAGGCTTGAACTGTGTCCAATAAGCAATCGATATTCGTGACACTTCTTGGATCCTTTATACGCTCCTCCAAAGCCCTCAGGCGTCTCCGCCTGTCTTCGTCGCACACCGCATCCATTTCTCCTGATAGGAGTTTGGATTACTGTGCTTCAACAATGTACAGTTTCTGTCGCATTAAAAGCTATTGAAATGCAGGGCTACATGTAGCATTGATCCGAATTTTGTATGACACTTGATGGACATTCCATGTTTTCTAAACAGATAAATATTACAAGTATAGTAAACAAATATTTCTAAAAGCAAACAACAGATAAGCAACAATTCCATGTAATCGTGCAAATAAAACACAAGATTCTAGATTTATCGCTATATTCTTAATATATTAATGATATAAAATTTATTTCATAAATATTTCAAGAGAAATAAAAGCAGCATGTGTTTACAGCTTGGCAACATTTCCAGTTCTTATGTAATATAGAACACATGAGGGAAACATAATGTTATTATAGCATCACAGTGCCAAACAAACAAGCTTGGAATTATCGCGTTAACACTCAGTTTGACAGATGTAACATATAAATATCTACATAAATTTAATTTCAGAATCAAGTTCTTCTTCTCGACCGAATAAAAGTAGAGCGACAAGGACGTTTCAGTGGCGGTGTAGAATGCGGAAAAGATACGACGCGATGTTTAACGGACAATGACTCAGCCGCGTAATTTACAAGGTGACAATGATTCGCGCGCGCGTGTGTGTAACAAAGAGCGATTCCGACACGACGTTGTCATTGAGACGTCTTTCTCTCACGTAGTAACATTCACAACGTCGAATTCCACCTCGACGATACGAGAAGAATCCTACCCGCTGCACTTGACGCGAAAGCTCGCTTCAAACGAAGAGGATTCTCAAACGAGATGATTGATGAGGTTACGTCAATAACAGCGTTCGTGAGACACGTCGCGAACGTCGGACGACACGCGCAAGACCTCGCCCGTCCTCGGGAATTCGTCCAATGGAAGACATTTAACGGATAACACTTGTAAAGCGTGCACGCGCAAATCTTGTTTCGAAACTCCTGTCAACCGCAGACTCTGCCGAGGTAAAACACCCGTACTTCGCGCTTCGCAGGATCGCCGCGCCGGCGACGCGAGATGCGCGAGGGTCGGATGACGACGCACGTACCTACGACGTTGTCCACGTCTCGACGTTGGCTGGCGCTGTTGCCCGGAGAAGAGAACCGGGAAGAAAACGCATTATTCTACCGAGCGTACGGGCGTACGCGTACAGCTGAGTCGTGCGTGCGCCATTCGAGCGATTCACGTCGTCCAAGCCACCGCGAGATTCGTCTCTTCTCTCCTCTCTCTCTCTCTCTTTCTTTGCCTCGCACTTGCTCCGTTTCTTCCTTTCTCTCTCACTCTCTCTTCCTCTTTCAACGTTCGGTGTTCTCCCGTAACGCGCGCCGTTCTCGCGCGATAGAAATCCGATCGGTGATTCCGTCGGCGTTCGCTTACTCGCGGCGACGTCGCATCCCCGCGCTCGCGACAGCGTGCGTACGTACACACGGTTAATTCGCGACGGCGAAAACACAACGCTGTATCGTACGGCACTTCCGCGGCTTCGATCCCTCGCCTGCTCGCGGGATTATCGATCGTCGCGATAAACGTGTTCAGTCTAAAATCAGCCGGAGACACCGGACTGAAGACTGCCCGATTCTTGCGCGTTGCCGCTACTAGCTGTGGGGACGGGACGAAAGGGGAAGCAAAGGAGGGGAAGGGTGAGGATAGCAGACACCAGCGCACGTCGTGTCGTAGGAAATTGTCGCGGGCACGGAGCAGCAGTGCAGAGCAAGCGTCAACCACCATTGAACTCTGTAACATACCGGAGTGAGCTTGAAGGAGTGGGGGTGGCCTCACCGTGGAAGGGAGAGAGCTATATTGAACGGGAATGTCTGTCTCATGTCTGTTTCGTTTACAATATCCCCCACCGTGCATGGCAGTAAATGTAGGAGGAAGACAGACGTCCCCGCCTGCTATTGCTATCCTCGAGCCGCGAATTGCACATTGCTTCTGATGGGAAAGGCTCACTCCAGTATATGTATAGAGCTCAATGTCAACCACTGCGAAGCGTCCACCACCACTAGAGCGTTGGAACGAAGCGCGAACAGTTAGGAGAAAGAGAGAGAGACTGAACCTTGAAAATGGAAGCGGAGAGGAGATCTAAGCGGCGTTCAGTGGCGTTGATCTAAGATGGCGTAGCGCTTCGTACTATGCAATTTGCATACAGCGATTAGTTGGCGATTAATTGATCAGTATACGGCTGGTCTCGTACAGGCACTGGAAACAAGTGTACTTTGACGACGATAACGGGAGGAATAACAGGAACGAGCATTCGAGCATTCCAGTTCCACGACACTTCGTGTGCAAAATATAAACAATTCCGGAGCGTTCTGGTCACGCGGGCAAGACGACCGGGTTTTTTCCCGTGCGTGCATCCATAATCATTCGTTTATCACTTCTTCATTTGGATTATTTTTTTGGCCAGCGCGTATGTGCACGTTGTATTTATAGCGACGACGAGTGTGTCTCGAAAATAGGTAACTGTGTATGCCACGTCATAGGTACTGCTGTCGCCGCTGCGTGCTTGGCGAGTGACGAATCTTTCATTTTTATCATTTTTTTGTTCTGTTGCAGTTGACCTTTGTTTACATATGCGCATATATAAATATGACATCCTGCGACTGGCAGATTAATAAACAGAAACTGTCGGAGCGTGGTCAGTATTTGTTGGAATCGGGACTATGGTCCGATTGCAATTTCATTGTTGGGCAAGAGCCTCAGCAGCAAACTCTCAAGGGCCACAAGTTGTTCCTAGCAATGTCCAGTCCGGTGTTTGAGGCTATGTTTTTTGGTGGCATGGCGGAAAAGAATGATCCAATACCAATTAAGGATGTGCAGCCGGAAGCATTTAAGACCTTATTGGAATACATATATACTGATAAAGTTGAATTGGGCTCCTTTGAATTGGCTTGTGAGTTGTGTTATTGTGCCAAAAAGTACATGCTGCCATCTTTAGTAGAAGAGTGCACAAAGTATCTGTGGTCTGATCTTTCGCCAAAAAAAGCATGCAGGGCGTATGAGTTTGCCAAGCTTTTTGAAGAACCTGTATTATTGGACAAGTGTCTGCAAATCATACGTACAAAGACAAATGAAGTTTTAAAGGAATCTACTTGGGAGGAAGTGGAGCTGGGAACACTTCTCAAAGTCTTAGATCAGGATGATTTGCAGATTAAATCAGAGGTGGAATTATTTATTGCAGTTGAACGATGGGCCAAGGCGGAGTCCCGGAGGAAATCTCTCGATCCCACAGATGGGAAATCATTAAGATCTGTTATTGGAAATGCACTTTTAAAGATAAGATTTTTGAGTTTGACTCCTGAAGAATTTGCAGAAGGTGTCGGTGTGTCCCCTCTGCTTACACAAGACGAAGCTTTCGCTATATTAATGAATATATCATGCAGGAACAAAATACCTATGCCGGAAGGGAACAAAGTACCTATGCCGGAAGGTTTTTCCACTGACAGGGATAATAGAATGAAGCCACTAAAGATTCAAACTACAAATTTTCCCGTAAGTGAAGACTTTTACAGTGAACCAGAAAAACAATATAATTCCATGTATTTGCCCGATATGCATTTGACATTGGACAATCTAATATTAGATTTGTGGCACTCATACAATTACTTTTGGACAGATCTTGAACAATTATACCAAATATACGATGTACAATGAAAAAACGCATACTATATGCAGAACGGTTATAAAGTAACTTCTTTATTTTAAAATTCCATAACTTCTAAATGGCTCGTCCGATTCTAATAAAATTTATCAGGGGTGTTCAGGGTAAAGTTATGGAATTTTAAAATAGGGAAGTTACTTTATAACTACTCTACATATATTGAACAAACGCACGGAATTATTAATACGTTCACTATCATTATGAATTGGAAAAAAATGTTCACCTTGTTTTGTTTTTTTTTAAATATTTTATCACAATACCCTACAGATTTGCACTTATACACGTGTAAAATGTGGTAAACAGGAATAATAAGTGTTATTATCGCTGTCACATATGTGTAACGTCAAAACAGAACTGGTGCGTCGCACATATGTGATGCTGGTCGCAAACATGTTAATACAAATAATTTCCATAGTCCCGTATTTGGATCAGCATATAGAAATTTATTTTGACTAATAGATTGTACATGCGCGGAATATTTTATTGTCTACGACAAACTTGGACACTTTTTAGACATCGCGACACGGCGCATTATGATTTTGAATATATAAATTTTACATATAAAATTTAATGTATCAAGTATTATAAAAAAATGTTATAACAAGTATCCAACCAATGATCGTGATGTGTTTTTTGACAGATCTTTACATTTTGATTTTTACTTTGACTCTGTTATAAAATTTATGTTACTATTGTATTACTTTTTATATACTTTTTAATTTATTTTTGTATTACTAATTTTACTAATTTTATATTTTAACACTTAATTTGTTTCTATTGACTTGATAATTTCCTAACAAAGTTTATTACTTATAATTACTGAAATATTCCAATTTTTTAATTTCCATTTTTATTCCATTTCTATTTCATTTTGATGAAGCAAATATTTCTCATTTAGATGTAGACGTTAATAAAATTGAAAAATCATTGACATACTGACATTATTTTTTTCAAAATTCACATTCATTATTTATTTCACATTAAATTGTCTTAACGTCTGTACCATTCGGTATTGTACACATTTTAATAAACTTAAAAAAAAAATTTTTTCTTTATTTAACCTTGTCCAAATGAGAAATATTTTAGATTTATGTGAGAATAATTTGAAATTTCATAGATCTCTTATTATATTTGAAGTAAAGGATTACTCAACACGTATATAAATAGATGTTATATATACAGGGTGTCGCGTAATTCGCGAATTAAGAGCAATAGTATACAAATTTTCATGAAATACGAAATAAAAAGGTTGACAATTTTTTAATTCAAGCAACAGTTTTTAAAATATGAATTTAAAATTGGCTAACCAAGCTATATAGTTAAGCAGTCGTTTATGTTTCAATTATTAATGCTATTATTGTCACGATTCAAAGAATAAATGACTGCTTAACTATATATCTGATTGGTCAGTTTGGAATCCTTATATTTTAAACATTGTTGCTTGGATTGAAAAATTGTAAAGAATTTTTTATTATATTTTTTGACAACTTTTATTATAATATTTTGATTCGCGAATTACGGGACATCCTGTATATATATATTTATAAATATTTTATTCTTGTTTTTTTTTTTAAATGTGCATGTGCTGTGTAATGAAATATTGTAACATTTGTGCATTTCTTCATAAAATTTGTTTCTTCTTTTAGCCATATGTTAAAAGTTCGAGACTATTAAATTTAGGAGATGCATCATACCATATGAATTATCATTCTGACTCTCTAAATACTGCAATGGACTGTACCACGTCTTCGTTTAAGACTTTAAGTGGAAGCATCAATAAGGACATTGGAATTTTACCTAGTTCCTCTTCTTCAGAAGTAGTTGTACGTGAGGGACCAAAATATTATTGCCTCAGATCAGTAGTTCAAGAAACAGACTGCTTGAACACAAATGTGCTAGATTGCTCCGTTCAGTTCAAAGCGGATAGAAATATTTGTGTGGTGGGTGTACAGGTTCCCACGCAAGTTCCTGCGGTAAGCTACAAGCTTTATATAATTTATTATATACGTTTCTAGTTATCATTTGTGTGTTTTATAATACAATATGTACATCACGCGTGTTTTATAGGCGAGTAATTTCGCTCAAGCTCTAATGAATGCTGATACGTCTTACACGGAAATCGTATATGCCCATCTCCTTGATTGTGACGGCACACGTTTAACGTACACACATTTCACCACTAAAGCAAACTACGGTACTCTCGTGGAAATTACTTTCAATCGGCCGGTTTACATTCAGAAACATAAGGTTTGCAACACAATTACTTTTCTGCTGTATAATTAATTACATCTGTTAGTCATTATATTTTAATTCGTAAAATAAAAAGTATATTTTTATCTTTAAAAGATGCATGATAATGCACGATCACGTCACTTATATTATGAGAATGTTATTCTGCTGTGAACAGGCTTATCGAGTTGGTGTGGTATTTAACAAGGCCGGATGGTATCCCCTAGGAGTTTGCGCTCAAAATGCATCCTGTGATTCTGTGTATTTCTCGTTCGGAGTTGGTGATAGTGCAGTGACGGTTCGTGACGGTCTTATTCGATCTATAGTTTTTACGTACCATTAACGTTAACAATGGTATTGGATGACAAAAAATAAGTACGTATTTTAGATTTGTGATAAAACAAGAACTACTCTTGCATATATAAATTGTGTTGTTGTACAATATTATTTTTTAAAACGTGTCTGTTACTGTAAATCCGAAAAGCTTGAAAAAATTGTACATATGCTCATCTATTCTAATTCTAATCACATTTTGCTCTGTACAAATCACTTCTTTAACTTATACTGTTTAAATCTTATCTTTATTAAATCTTATATATACATTATTTTGTGTTTTTATTTTCCCTGTAATATCAATTTTTATCTGAAAAAGAATCTAACGTTTGTAAAAAATAAATAATTTGCAGATCTATATTATTATTTTAACTTTGTTACATATATTAAATTTCAAAATAGATATTAAATTATTAATTATAAAATATAACATCCACATTTATATTATATTTATTATATATTATAATATTTATATTTAGAATAAATATAAATATCTTCATAACAATTAACACTGTTAAATAAAGACGAAACTATTTTATAAAATAGAATCAGTTTGTACAAATGTATGATTAATCTCTAGAGATAAAAGACTGTGATCGCTATGTCATTTATCCCATATTTATTGCACTTATTGCTTCATTATAAAAAAAACATTTTATGAACACGTATATACATGTGCGATATTATAATTACAATAATATTGTTTATAAAAGATGGGGTTTGTAGCAAAAACCTTCTTCTTTGCAGAATGTACAAAATGTATAAAATTTATTAATGTACAGAACAGGCAGACTGCTGTTTTATATGGATTAAAATTTTTCATGTTTAATGCTTCCAATCATTTATTTCTTTTATCGATATTTTTAGGAATCCAATTTTTGGAATAATACAAAGGATTGAACACATCCAAATAAATAACTATATAAAAAATGTTGATAATATTTTTTAGCTATTCTGTATATAAATTCATGACAATTTATTATTAACAATAAATATAATTTTACGTTACAGAATAAGAATAAGATACAGCATAAGAAAACTATTATACACAAAGCTTCTATAAACAAAAACATAAAACTTTCTTCAAATTTGTGATAAAAGTTAACATTATCACAGCTTAATTTTCTCAAATTTAAATTATAAGTACAATTTCAGAGTTTATAATTTAATTTTGACAGAATTGTTAATTATTTTAATATTAAATAGGTTATTTTAATATTTATAATAGATTATGATTGCTTTTTATTACTATTTATGAATTTAAATCTCCCACCATTTTAAGTTTCGAACTTGACTGTACGTAGAAGGACAGCAATACACGACACGTGGTTCTTTCTCGGCTCGTGACAAGCGATCTGTGCCCATTCCAGTATATAAAGAACAGACCTTAATTTCAGAGAATTTATTCCGAAATCTCTGTACAAATAAAATTAAATTATATTTAAAAAACTGAAATAAGAAATTGTTTTTTTCTAATTAATTATAATTTTTTCAAATATATTGAAGAAAATTTGAACATACTTATCAGAACACATGTCCAACAAATTTCACAAATACAAGACCGCACAAAACATACGGAGCTGGAAACGACGCATTGCTCCGAGATATATTATTACGGAATACACAACTACAATATATGATTGTAATTACTGTCGGCGTTCTTGGTTATTCTAGTATTTGGAACATTTTACATCAATTACGCATTATACAGCATCAACGTATTAGCCAAAGTTAGGTAAGCGCATTCTTTTTTTGGCACACTAGAGATAATCATCGACGACACACGATGTGCGACGTGATTATAAAGAATAATTAAAATATTGCTCATTAATATATGATTGGCGTGAATATGTATGTATTCCTAAAAATAATTTCATAATGCAGATAATATCTTGGTTCAAAATAATTTAGGAGATTATTGCGGCTGTTGTTTCTTTACTTCTAATTGATTTTATGATGTTGAATTATTAGACAGAATTTTAAATATATTGAAGAGAAGTTTTTATATAATAACGTAGAGTGAATTACGTAGGATGCTTTCCATTTAGTGACACAAGTCGACACAAGCGACTTATTCTGTTTTTTTTTTTTTTTTTTTTTTTTCAAAATTCAGTGAACAATAAAGGTTAATGCTTGTGCCGATTTGTGTTGCTAAATAGAAAGTACCCGTGGTAGAATAACCTATAATACTGGCCAGTGGATATATCTATATTACTGTATTTGCTAAGAATATTAAGATTTATATTAAATACAATTTCATTTTATGTGTTTGTTTCTTTCGCAAATCTTTTGCTACGAACTTATACAGTGAAGAGAAGTTACACTAATGAATTCTTAAATTGTTTTCAACTAAATTGTCTGCTTCAATCTATATACATTGTTAGATTATGTGAAAACTATTCAATTTCATAGTTTAATGGTATAAATTCTTTTAGCACACAGTTTTTGATTTAAATAAGGACATTGTGTCGGACAGTTGTGTATGAACGTACAGTACAATGAAGTGTCACTACGAAGTATTGGGAATTGCAAGAAATGCCTCTGATGATGATATAAAAAAAGCATATAGGAAGTTAGCGTTGAAATGGCATCCAGATAAAAATCTGGATAATCAGGATACAGCTAAAGAACAGTTTCAGCTTGTTCAGCAAGCATGGGAGATACTGAGCGATCCCCATGAGCGTACTTGGTATGACAATCATCGAGAGGCTATCTTAAAGGGTGGCATTGGAGAGGATTACAAGGATGAATCCATCAATCTCTTTCGATATTTCTCCGTTTCATGTTTCAAGGGTTATGGGGACGACCAGAAAGGTTTCTACACTGTTTATCGGAATGTGTTTGAAAAATTGGCAGCAGAAGATGCGGAGTTTGCCGAAGACAGTGATTCTGATGAAGAAATTCCCGGTTTTGGCGACTCTCAGAGCTCTTACGAGGAAGTGGTGCATAAGTTCTATTCTTATTGGCAGAGTTACAGCACCAAGAAATCCTATGCTTGGCTGGATCCTTATGACGTACGCAAGGTGGCAAGTCGACGCATATTTAGGCTCGCTGAGAAGGAGAACAAGAAGGTGCGTGATAAAGCGAGGCGCGAGAGAAACGAGCAAGTGCGCAACCTCGTCGCCTTCGTTCGCAAACGCGACAAGCGCGTGCAGGCTTACGCGGGAAAACTGGCCGAACGTGCTCGGGAGAATTTCCGTAAGGCGGAAGAGCGCAGAAAGGCACACTTGCTGGAAAGACAGAAACTGTTGCACAATCATACTGAGTCGGAGTGGTCGAAATTTTCAAACATTGAAGCGGAATTGAAGAACATTGAGGCGAACCTAACGGCGGAATTCGGGATAGACGACAAGGACGATAACAGAAATCTCTACTGCATCGCCTGCAATAAAATCTTCAAGACGCAAAAGGCTTTCATGAATCACGAAAAGTCGAAGAGACACCAGGAGAAGGCCAGTGCGCTCAGACTCGATATGTTGGAGGGAGATGAGGATCGCGATAGCTCTCGAGAAAGCACGGAAGACTCGAGCGCGGAATCAGCTTCGCTAAATGGACCTAAGTTAGCAACAGACTCGCAGATGCCTGATTTCTTGCTGAATCCTGTTGCTTCTTCCCAGAGCAACGAGCCCGTCAACGAAGATGCCTCTCCTGCCGAACTGATATCAGACGACGAGGAAAATTCCGTACATCCTCGACTGGCAAGCGAGAAAAACAAGGTGAATAATGTAGATGTTCCGTTAGTCACAGGACCAGAGATGGAAAGTACTTCGTACTCATCTAAAATAGAAAATGAGACTGAGGACATAACGTCTGAAGATGAATTAATATCTGATCAGGAAGAAGACATTGCATTGGCTCGTCAGAAGAAAAAGAAAAAGAAGAAAAAGCGAAATGTTCAGAATCCGAATCCTATGCTAGATCGTGCTAGTGGCGACGACACGGAGAGCATTAACGAAGAGATGTGGCTGTCGAAGAAGCAGCGCAAGAAGTTACAACAAAGGAAAGTAACGATAACTAAACAGTTTCGAGATAACGAAGAGACGCAGAAAGAAGAGAAACAAGAGGCCGAGAGCGAAAGCGAAATGACGGAAGAAGCAAATATTGCTGGCGGAATATCGAAAGTCGATAAAGCAAAGAAGCGGTGCAAGAGAGAGGAACGCAAGGAAAGAGAGGAAAGCAAGAGAAAGGAAAGGGATCCAGCCTTTGATCCAGAAGTTGATGATGTATCTCATCGCTGCGTTTCTTGCTCATCAGAATTCCCTAGTAAAAACAAATTATTCGAACATTTAAAGAAAACCGGACATTCGGTATACATACCGGAATTAACGAAACATAAAAAGACTCAGGAAAAAAAGGAAAGGACGACTGCCAAAGGAAAAGACGGCTCAGACAAAAAGAAACGTTAAAGCTGATTTAGTCAAATTCTAACTTAATTACTACCTTTAAATCTGTAGCTTAATTTACTGTGATCGAAAGGACTTTTATGAGAATGATAATGTAATCGCATCATACGTAATGTACGAACATGGTACGAACCGTATTTTTGTATATATTTTATATACATAATCTTATTGTATGTGTATTATTATTAAAATAATTTGAATTGTTTCGTAATGGCCAGTCATTAGTTCTTTTGTGACAATTATATTTGATTAGAACTGAAGATTAGCAACTCAACATTATGTTGTAATAGAAACAATGAGAATTAAAATTATCTGCATCACAGACGTGCAAGCAGTTTTGTAAACTATTATGTCTATAATGTGTAATAAACATAATGCATATTATATTTTGAACTTATTTTATTTGTTGCTACCAAAAAACCATTTGGTATCTTTTCTTACAATATTTTAACTTTATCAAAAAGTGTTAGCATTAAATATTCGTTAACTATTGAATAATAATTAGTTGTAATAATTATATGCATAAAATAATGTTGAAACGATTTATTTTTCAACGAAGTAAAAATAGGAGTTTTATATAACAGTGTAAAAAATTATTTGCATTTTTTCAGGGTATGCAATCTCTTGCTATAGATACAAACAGTAATGTCACAAGTAGCATGACGTAGAAATGAATATCATTCATTACGCTGTTAATCACAGGTGAGATGTGCACTTCGTCTTACGTTTAATTTCAAAGTGGCATGAGTTAAACTTTGAGAAAGCAATATACAACTCTTAATGTAATGCACAATGTGCAGTATGTTTTAACAAGACTTTACAAAAGATCTTTTTATGCCACTTTGCAATATATTTAGGTTTAATTTTCCGTACGTCTCTCGAGAAATATACTACACACAAACACTATTACACGTGTCTGTAAACTTTCTAAATAAAATAAAGGTGTAATTTCTTCAAGGTCGCATACTATGGCTGCCAAAAAGCTTGTTTATCCCGCGGCGGATCGCAATAAGGATCCAATACTATCGGTTTTAAAACGATACATCCAGCGCGGCACGAATCAATCCTTCCTGGAGATATCTTCTGGTTCTGGGCAACACGTGGCGCACTTCGCGCCTCATTTCCCGCATATCACGTTTTACCCCTCGGAGTACGAACCGCGACTTCTGGAAAGCATCGCCGCGCACGCTAATGGATATTCGAACATAAAAAGTCCCATGAAAATTGACATCACCACGGAATTCCGGCTGTGGGATAATCGTATCTTCAAGCTGAATAGTTTAGAGTACATATATAATGCGAATATGATGCATATCTCGCCGTACGCCTGTACCATCGGCTTATTCAACAACGCGGGACAATTGCTGAAACCGAACGGGCTGTTAATTACGTATGGACCGTACGCATTTGATGGTCAGATCACTCCGCAGAGTAATATAAATTTCGACAAGTCTTTGAAATCGCAGGATCCGAGTTGGGGTTTGCGAGACGTGAGAGACTTGAAGAAGTTGGCCGAAGAGAACGGTATCAAGTTAATAGAAATAGTGGATATGCCCGCTAATAATAAGACGATAATCTGGAAGAAATGTGTGCATTCATAAAGAAATTGAAATTGGTGTGAATTTATCAATTAAACGTTAGCTTAATGAACTAAACTTAAATTATCGCTAATTGGAAAATAACTTAATCGAGATTCATCCTTGTGCAACATATTGTAACCCTTACCGAGCCGTGAAATAATAATTCGATTTACTTGTCTCACAAAACAAGAATTAAATTACAAACGATTTATCATCACATATATTATCACTAAATTTAAATTTAGAAATTTTTATTTAATTGGATTGGAAAGCATTATTTCTGGTATTACGCAAATGACTGTCATGTGTTTTTTTGATATTTCTATATTCTTATACGTATTTTATTTGTTATTAACAATATTTTTTATATACATACTATATACATATATTATATTTTATTTTACGTTAATATTTGTGGTAGTTCACACTTTAATCCCTGAGAGATCTGTGACTTTTGTACAAGACTCATAAAAAAATATAGTATAAATTATACCTTATTATAATACAACATTAAAATGCTAAAATATATCTTGTGTGAAGTATGAAGCAACGACCACAGTATTTTTACATGGTATCGTCCTCATCTCCAAAGAAATCCAAATTTTCCAATCCCTCTGGCAAATAATTTAATCCAGATTCATCCTTGTTCTTCATATTGTATCCCTTGCCGTGCCCTGAAATAATAGTTTGATTTATTTGTCTCACAAAAAAAGAACTAAATAAATTACAAATTATTTATCCAAATCCTTCATAAGTCTTGTAGGGGCATTCCTCAAATGCAAAGGCACTCCTGGCTGCGGACCTTTGTGCTCGGCTACCACTTTTTGCGCAGCTCTAAGTGCATCCTCCATTAATCTGGATTTGGGAGCTCTTGCCAGATATGTCGTGCATTGCGCCAAAAGAACATCGCATTCCGGCATTCCTATCATTTTACAACCGTGCATTGTATGCACTGCTATTCCTATATAAATAATATTATTTACATAAAGTGTTTAAGTGAAATATCATTTTAAAAATCTGTAAATTATCACAATTAATTTTTCAAATCAGTTATTATAAAAAATTAATAAATATCTTTTAAAAAAAGTTATAATTATTAAATAATTGTTAATCATTTTTGAAATAAATATATCATGACATAATTGCTGCTAAAGTGTATACTTTAATGTCATAAATGATCTGCTAACCAAGAGCTTTTGGATCAGCTAAGCCGACATCTTCACTAGCCATCCTGACTAATCTTCGCGCGATGTAAACCGGATCTTCGCCACCGGAAATCATTCTGGTCAGCCAGTAAAGTGCAGCGTTTTCATCATTGGCTCTGACCGACTTGTGCAACGCGGAGATCATATCGTAATGTTGATCGCCCTTTTTATCATAAAGCATGTGCGACTTCTTTAAGCTCTCCTCGACATCTTTCAGCGTTATTATAGGCAAATCAACGTCTAATAAGTTCTCTTCATTCGGTGCCTTAGATCGCACAGCCAATTCCAGTCCTCCTAGGGCTATTCGAGCATCACCGTCGCAGGTTCCAGCCAACCATTCTATCGTCGGTTCGTCTATAACAAACTTTATACCGCAGGACAGTTCTGTTTCGATCTTGTCTTCCTTTGACGTGCTTTCTTCACTGGCGGGTTGCAAAGTATTTTCATTTTTCTCTGATGTGTGCATGATACCTTCGAGTGAAATTACCGCACGTTTCAAGATCGACACCAAGTTCACGACAGACAATTTGTGCAGAACGATCACTCTGCATCGGCTCAGTAATGCAGAGTTCAAGCTGAATGAGGGATTTTCTGTAGTGGCACCGATCAGGGTGATGGTTCCGGATTCAACATGCGGCAAGAACACGTCTTGCTGCATCTTGTTAAACCTATGTATCTCATCCATGAACACTATCGTACGCTGCGCAAATTTGATATGATTGGCAGCGATGCTGATGACTTCCTTTACCTCTTGCACGCCAGCCATTGCTGCGGAGAGCTTAACATATCTAAGCTTACGGTTCACGTCATTCTTACATATGTGTGCGATAACGTTAGCCAGGGACGTCTACAAAAAGAAAAGCCAATGTACATGTCCACAAATAAGTATTCACATGCAAGAAACTCTAAAAATAGGTAATAGTACTTTGCCACATCCGGGTGGACCCCAAAGTATCATGTTAGGTATCTCTCCTTTTTGCAGGAGCTCTGCGAGCATAGTGTGTGGTCCAAGAATGTGTTTCTGGCCGACAAAGTTCAACAGTGATGTGGGCCTCATCTGTTCTGCAAGAGGTGTACGTTCATTCCCGCGCAATTTCTTGCACTCGTTGTTTGTCTGCAAGCAAAATTTAAGTCTTTCATACAGTAATTTTATAAAGTTATATATCACAGGAAAATTTAATATTAAAATGAATTGTGTTGCCTACTATTTATATTTATAATTATACAAGTATTGAGTTAATATATCATTTAATTCCACTGCCAAACAAAGCAATAATAGTTACATTTTTCTGTGGCATGACATCTTTAACATCCTCTTCATTCTTTTGAAAACTTTGTGAAGAAAACTGATCCAAAGAATTCTTCCTCTTCACTTGATTAGATCTTTGCACTGGTTTGAACTTATTCTTTTTATTTACAGGACTTGAGTCTTTCAGAAAAATGGTGGTTTCATTTTTCACAGATTCATTCAGGAATAAGCACTTACTAGCATGAGATTCAATAATAGAGAAAGCAAAATTTTTGCCACATATTGGACACAATACTTTTTCAGTATCCATGCTTTATAACAATAATAAGCATAAGCTTCTAAATTTTCCTTTTTTTATTTAATGATTATTGTCACCATAAGTTAGTAGAAAAATACTATAAATGTTAGTATCTTTGCAAATATCTCTTAACACGTGTAAGAAATTCACCTGAAACATAAAATAATAAATAATAAATAATAAGTAAATAGTAAAACAATAAATTCATGTTCTCAATGATTTTTACACATAATGCATATCACAAAAAACGCAGTAATCTAGATTATGCATTTATTATTTCCAGAAAAAAAAACTGGAAAACCGATTATTTGCGGAAAAACAAAACGCTGATTACTGCATCATTTCTTATTGCGCGACCACGTGTTGTTTAAAAAGAATGTTCTGTATACAAAGGTGCATTTATTATAGCGTGCGTGACTCTATTGTCAGTAAAAAAACTTTAGTATAATCAACAGTTAGATATTCAACAAACCTAATTGTGACGAAGAAACGACAATAACGAACGAAACAACACATAGATTGAGAATTGTCAAAACGACAAGACCGCGAAAAAAGTGCGCCAAGTTAAAACGCCATACAATTCTAAAAAAAATGGCAAGTATAGCTTGCCACGCGATGCGCAGAACCGTCGCTGAAATAGGATCCTCGGAGACGGTACCGTTATGTCAAACTCATGATAACCTAACAGCAAGTCCGCTCCTACGCGCAAGTATGTAGAAAGAATCTATCCCCGCGCGATCTTTAAGCGCGTTAAAATCGCTATTACATCACTAACATTTGATAACGCGAGTGAACAACCGGCAGCGTCACTCGGAAGTCGCTGAGAGAGTGTTCGAGGTTCCGAGGATTCATGGGGATCTCCGAGTGAAGGGTACTTTCGCGGCGAAGGAGTCCAGTACTGTTTAGCACGAAGCAGTGCTGACGTAGACTGTGTGAGATCACTGGTTAAAGAATGAATTTCGGACTAGAAGGAGCGTTTCTCCCGTAAAATGCGACCGTGAAAAGGAATTTGTTAAGTGAGACATCAAAGCAAATGCGGTACAGCGTGGATAACCAACCTAAGACAGTCATTCTCTTCTCCGTCTTCTGCGGACATTTAAAGAATTTCGAATAGTTCGTGGTCTCTCTCTCTCTCTCTTTCCGGCAGTATTTTTCACACAATGATGGAAGTTCGGCGCAGGCGGGCAAAGCCGCAAGACGGCAAGCACAGCTCACATTTAGAGCACGACGCCGACGCGATTACAAATCACTCAAGGACAGTTCAAAAGGATGAGGTGAGCCGCGATATTCAAATCTCAAAGATTTCTTGGGTGGAAATATATATATAATTGCGTGAGAAAATTACGCACAGATATCTAATATTATTGTGTTATCTGAATCAACTGGAATAATGCATTCGAAAATTTTTAAATTCGACGCAAGAGTTGAAATTAACTCTGCTCTAGCATCTTATTTAGAATTTAAACTGTTCACAATTTATGTCGAAACTTATGGCTCTAGAAAATCGAAAATCTCATTATACACAGAATGTTTCATTTTTTTTGTAGAAAAAATATTGAAAAGATTATTCTAAAACAGATATAGTTTCTCATTTCTATTTTTACAAAAATAAATTGAAAGAGCACACAATTTGTGAAGAAGCAAAAATATCGCAAAAAATATAAATAGAATTTAATAGAATAAAAATTAGAACAAAATTTTATAAATAGGAGTAACAAATTTTGTTATCAAAAATATATATTTTCCACGTAACATACTAAGATATTTTTCAGTTAATTTAGATTTAATTGATTACTATATCAATCTTTATTTGTTGCAGGGAGATGGGCAAGTAACTTCAGACATTTCTATAGAAAATAAAAAAGAAAATCCATCAAATTCGACCACATCAAAACAACTTGTATCGAGCAATACAGTTTGTGCTCGAATCAGAATCAGTTTGGAAATTGATCTGATAGCAGCAATTTTATTAATTGCGGGCATTTGCACTCGCCTTTATCGCCTCGAGGAACCACGCAGTATCGTGTAAGCGTATACATATTTTTAACAAATACAGCACAGCTCCGATAATAACATATTAAAATTTCTTAATTATAATTAATTATAATGTATATATTAATTACTCATATTAATTTCAGCTTCGACGAGCTACACTATGGCAAATATGTCGGACTGTACATGAAGAGAACATTCTTTTTCGATTCCCACCCGCCACTAGGGAAACAATTAGTCTCCGCGGCAGCATACTTGGCTGGTTTCGATGGACAATTCAAATTCGACAGGATAGGAAGTCCTTACAGCGACACGATTCCGTTGTATGCGTTACGACTAGTACCTGCAATATGTGGCAGCTTGCTGATCCCCACAGGATATCATCTTGTTCTGGAGCTCGGTTTGAGACAATGGGCTGCTGCAATCGCTGGAATTTTATTATTGTTCGGTAATTTCCTCTTAGCTCAGAAAGTGCGTACTAAGATTGCGTGTTCACAGCACATGCTGCTTGCTCCTATTTTCACTTCTCTGCCTTTTAATTAAAAGACTAATATTACAAATAATCTGAAAATTTAGTGATTTATATAAGTAATAGAAATTAAATTTGAAAATCAACTTGCTATGTCTTATTGAAAATAATAGATATAGCAAAAGTCTATTATACGCGCATATATTACATAATTTAGGATTTAATATTTTAATATTGTAATTAATATTATTTATATTGAATCACTTCTCGTGCGATGTTTGTTATTACAATTCTAAAACACACGTATTTTGTTAATACATTTATTACTATTTTAGATAATGCATTGTTGACACAGTCAAGATTTATTCTGATGGAAAGCATCTTGATGCAGTTCTCATTGCTCGGGTTGCTATGTGTCGTGAAATTTCGGAAAGTCATGGATCAACCGACATCCGCATCTTGGTGGATATGGCTGATATTAGGCGTCGCGAACTTAACATGCGCGCTATGGTACGATCACAATCTTTTTCATTGCCATTCACGTTTGTTTTCGATCAAATTTACACGATCAAAATTTTCTTTTCTTACAGCGTGAAGTATGTCGCATTTTATTCCATGCTTCTCGCGCTCTTCCTGATCTCTCGTGATTACTGGTCCCTGCTTCCGAGGAAGACTCTGTCGTGTTCGATTCTGTGGATCCATTTCTTCGTAAGACTCACCGTGTTGATCACCGTTATCGCCACTGTATACCTGAGCATATTCTACGTACACCTGGCGGTACTCCATAAGGCAGGACCACACGATTCGGTGATGACCAGCGCGTTCCAAGCGAGTCTGGAGGGAGGACTCGCCAGCATCACGAAGGGACAGCCTCTGGAGGTGACGCACGGTTCACAGATCACCCTTAGACACACATACGGTAGAGCCTGTTGGTTGCACAGTCACAACCACGTGTATCCGCTACGGTATCCCGATGGTCGTGGCAGCTCCCATCAGCAACAAGTCACTTGCTACTCGTTCAAAGACGTCAACAACTGGTGGATCGTCAAGAAGCCGGACAAGAACGACCTGGTGGTGACGAAACCCAGCGAGCCCATCCGGCACGGCGATGTGATCCAATTGGTGCACGGTATTACAAGCAGAGCGTTGAACTCCCACGACGTCGCGGCGCCGATGACGCCGCAGAGTCAGGAGGTGTCGTGCTACATCGACTACAACGTGTCGATGCCGGCGCAGAATCTGTGGCGAATCGAGATCACGAACAGGGATCACTCCGGCGACACGTGGCACGCGATTCAGAGCCAAGTGCGACTGATACACGTGCACGCGAACGGAGCGGAGTTCGCGTTGAAGTTCAGCGGCAGGCAGCTGCCAGATTGGGGTTTCAATCAGCACGAGGTCGTCGCGGATCGGCTGGTAGACCAAACCAATTCCATCTGGAACGTCGAGGAGCACCGGTATACCAAGAGTGAGGATCAGAAGCAGCGGGAGCGGGAGCTGATCAGTGCGGAGATGATACCGTTGCAGGCGACTGCGTTAAGTTTTTGGGAGAAGTTCGCGGAGCTGCAAGTCAAGATGTTGTTCGGCGGCCAAGAGGGTCAAAACAGCCACATGTATTCCAGCGGACCACTTGAATGGCCGTTCATGTCCCGAGGAATCGCGTACTGGGTGTCGAACGATAGTAACGTAAGCTGAAAGAATTCCACATTATGATCGATACATTGTTAAGAGGAAATAAAGCGCATTTCAATTTTGTGTGCGCGTGTATTTACACTTCTCGTCTTATTTTAATTTTTCACTACTAAATTAACTTGCAAATTTACTGTTTTATAAAACAGATTTAAATTGCGCTACGTAAAATAATATTATATCATTTCAGGCGCAGGTGCATCTTTTGGGGAACATCGTGATTTGGTACTCCGGCACGATCTCAGTGATGGTATACTCGACTCTATTGATATTTTATTTAATAAGGAGAAGAAGGAAGTGTTTCGACATTGCTGAGGAAGAGTGGGAAAAGTTTGTTAACAATGCTTGTGTATTGTTAGCCGGATACTTTCTTCATTTCTTGCCTTATTTATTTGTTGAAAGAACTTTATTTCTGCATCATTATTTACCAGCTTTTATTTTCAAAGTTTTATTAACGGCCGCCACTATTAACCATCTATATTACTTAATGAGGTAGGTTTCTATTTTTGTAACTTCGTAAATTTAATTCAATCTTGTATAAAATAAATATTATTTGTTATATCATCTATTTCAGCACTCATCGCCGATGGAGTATTTCATTATACATTTTGACATGTGGTACCATCGCTTGGACTCTGTTTGTCATTTACGTGTTTAAAAAATTCATTGTACTCAGTTATGGCACATCAGTTCTCAGTGCTAAGGATGTGATAAAATTGAGATGGAGAGATACCTGGGATTTTATTGTACACAAAACATAAGAATCTACTAGGTTTAAAGATCACAAAACGTATATAAAACGTCATATTTTTAATTGTTATATAAAAACGCATTGTATTTACCAGACAAACATTATTATGCACAAATATGTATAACTATGCGTTTTCATAAATAGATTTAACAGATGTTACTGTATTTATAATATCGCACATATATACGTGTTTATAAAATATTTTTTTACAATGGAGCAATCAGTGCCACGAACATGGGGAGGTAAATGACATAGCAATCATTCTTTTATGTATAGAGATTAATCATGCATTTGTACAGACTGATTCTATTTTATAAAATATTTTGTCTTTATTTAACAATGTTAATCGTTGTAAAGATATTTATGATATTTAGAATAAATATAAATATAGAATAAATTACAGAATAAATATAATATAAATGCGGATGTTATATTTTATAATTAATAATTTAATATCTATTTTGAGATTTAATATATGTAATAAAGTTAAAACAATAATATAGATCTGTAAATTATTTATTTTTTATAACGTTAGATTCTTTTTCAGATGAAAATTGATATCACAGGGAAAATAAAAACACAAAATAATGTATATATAAGATTTAATAAAGATAAAATTTAAATCGTACAAGTTAAAGAAGTTATTTGTAGAGCAAACTGTGATTAGAATTAGAATAGTTGAGCATATGTACAATTTTATCAGACTTTTCGGATTTACAGTAACACAGACACGTTTTTAAAAAAGAATATAGTATAACACCATTTATATATGCAAGAGTAGTTCTCGTCTTATCACAAATCTGAAATACATACTTATTTTTTGTCATCCAATACCATTGTTAACGTTAATGGCGTGTAAAAACTATAGATCGAATAAGAGCATCACGGACGTGACTGCATTATCACAGACTTCGAACGAGAAATACACAGAATCACAGAATGCATTTTGAGCGCAAACTCCTAGGAGATACCATCTGGCCTTGTTAAATACCACACCAACTCTATGAGCCTGTTCACAGCAGAATAACATTCTCATAATATAAGTGACTTCATCATGCATTTATCATGCACCTTTTAAA